CAGCCGCAGCCACAGCGGCCGCCGTCGCAGCGGCCACTCCTCCCAGTTCCTGTCCCTCCCCCTAGTCTCCTCCCTGCGTCTCACCAGGTGGTTCCGTCCCCTCAGGTTGTCGCGTCCAGTCCAGTCGCTGCGTCTTGCTCCTGTCGGTCGCTTGCCCACCCCACCGTTCTGTGGCACCACCGGATGGGACACCCTTCTCTTCCACGTCTGCGTGCTATGTCTAGTCAGCGTCTGGTCTTAGGTCTCCCGCGTGTCTTGCCGTCGCTGCCGCCGTCTCTTGCACCACCGTGCGGTCCTTGCGTCGAGGGTAGGCTGCGTGCCACCCCTCACTCCTCCTCCCTTCGTCCGGCCACCGAGCCTTTTGAGACGCTGCACTTGGACGTCTGGGGCCCCTCTCCTCGCCCTGGCCCTGAGCGTGAGCGTTTCTTTTTGGTGGTCGTTGACGACTACTCCTGCTACACCACAGTGTTCCCCCTGGCGAGGAAGTCTGAGGTGACTTCTACGCTGATCAGGTGGTTGCTTACCACCCAGGACACTCGTGGTCGTCGTGTCAGCTGTCTCCACTCCGACCGCGGGGGCGAGTTTCGCTCCGGCATTCTCGCTGGATTCTGTCGCGAACAGGGCATTCGTCAGTCCTGGACGCTTCCGGAGTCCCCACAGCAGAATGGGGTTGCTGAGCGTCGCATAGGCCTGGTCATGGAGATTGCCCGCACCTCCTTGACTCACGCCCGTGCCCCCCATTTCCTGTGGCCATACGCAGTCAGGTACGCCGCGCACCAGCTGAACCTCTGGCCACGCGTCTCTCGGCCGGAGGCTTCACCGACCAGTCTTTGGACAGGGTCCCCTGGTGTCGCGTCGAGGTTTCGTGTCTGGGGGTGCTTGGCTCTTGTCCGCGACACCTCCGCGGACAAGCTCTCGCCTCGCGCCGTTCCTTGTGTCTTCCTTGGTTTCCCTGAGGACTCCTCTGACTTCACCTTTTACCACCCTCCCTCTCACCGGTTCTTTGACTCCCGTGACGTCCGTTTCGAGGAGTCCACCCCCTACTACGTCAGGTACCCCAGTCGAGGTCTCCCGGTCCCTCCCCCCCCTCTCTTCCTGACCGCCGCTCCCCCGCCTGCTCCCCCGGTACAGCCTCCCCCCCCTGGTCCAGCCCCGTCTGGTGTGTCTCAGGCTAGCCCTCCCCCTTCGGTAGCCCCCCCTGTACAGCCTCCCTCCCCACAGTCTTCCTCGCCGCCTCCTGCAGGTGCTCCCTCTCGGGAGGTTGGTCCTGCGACTGTCCCTGTACAGGTCTCTGGTTCTGGGGGTGCTGGAGTTGGAGCTGAGCCGCGGGTTGCAGAGGACTCTTGTCTTCCGGGGGCTGGTACTGGTCGTGCGGAGTCTGGGGGTGCTGGTGCTGAGTCTGGGGGTGCTGCGTCTGGGGGTGAGGGTGTCCCTTCGGTTTCTGGAGAGCCTGGGTCTGGAGCTGGTGTTGGTGCTGCCTCTGGGGGTGGTGTGCTTGGTGCTTCGGAGGTCGACTCTGGGGCTGCCGCTGCCCCGGACACTACTCCTTCCCCCCACCCCTACCCGACCAGGTTCCAGGCTCGTGTTCGTCGTGCTCGTGAGGAGCAGCTGGAGTTGGAGAGAGAGGAGAGAGAGTTGCAGCGGCTCGAGGAGCAGGAGCGACAGCAGCAGGAGCAGCAGCAGGGGCAGCAGCCGCTGGAGCAGCAGCAGCCGCAGCAGCCGCAGCAGCAGCAGCTGCCGTCTCCTCCTCCTGTCTCGGGTCTTCGGACCCTTGGTCTCCCCTCTCCCTCTCCTTCCTCCTCCCCCTCTCCTCCCGTCTCTGGTCCTCCGCTTCCTCCTCCTGACCCCTCTCCCGCTGTTTTCCCTCGTTCTCAGTCTTCGTTGTCCCCTCCTCCTTCTCAGACTTGGGCCTCTCGTCGCTCCCCTCGTGCTCGTCCCTCGTCTCCTGTTCCCTTCACTGACCTTCGTACTGCCTTACTTCGTTCTAGTCCACCTCGTCCGTCTCCGTCTGTGCTTCCGTCTCCTCCTGAGTCGGCCCTCACTGCGTCGCTCCCTACTCCTGTCACTGACTACTACCGCACGTACCGTCCTCTTCTCTCTCGTGTTCTCGCCTCGCTTGTTACTCACCCTCGTGCCTCTGTGTCCTCTGTGTCCGCTCTTACTGCCGCAGTCACTGAGTTTGCCTCTACCCGCCGCCTTGACTTCGCCACCGCTCTTGTGGCTGCTCCTCCTTCCAGTCCTCTGGCCGTCGGGGGTGTGTCTGCCCTTGGCTGTGACGCCCTAGAGGACAGGCAGTTTGAGCTAGAGTTCCTGGCGGCCGCTTCCCCTCATCTCTGTGCCATGCTCCTTGCCCCTGAGGGTGACCCCGACGCCCTTGACATTCCGACTCCTCGCACTTACGCTGAGGTAGTGTCAGGGCCTTGGGCCTCTCAGTGGAGAGCTGCCATGGACGCAGAGATGGCCTCCTACAGATCCACAGGCACCTACGTCGATGAGGTTCCCCCTCCGGGGGCGAACGTAGTCGACGGCATGTGGATCTACAGGGTGAAGCGGCCACCGGGATCTCCTCCGGTCTTCAAGGCGCGCTACGTGGCTAGAGGTTTCAGTCAGCGCGAGGGAGTTGACTTCTTTCAGACCTTCGCGCCCACCCCGAAGATGACCACTCTTCGGGTGTTACTACACGTAGCAGCACAGAGAGACTACGAGTTACACTCTCTCGACTTCTCTACTGCTTTCCTTCAGGGCAGTCTTCACGAGGAGGTCTGGTTGCGTCGTGTTCTGCCTTCACTGGCTCTTTCCCTCCTGGGACCCAGTGGAGGCTGAGGCGACCGGTTTACGGTCTTCGTCAGGCTCCTCGTGAGTGGCACGACACCCTGCGTTCTACCCTGTCTGACCTTGGGTTCCAGCCGTCTTCTGCTGACCCGTCGCTGTTCGTTCGTCGTGGCACCACACCTTTCTTTGTTCTGGTCTACGTTGACGACCTTGTTTTCGCCACCCCTGACAGGGTTGCTTTGGCACACGTGAAGTCCGAACTGCAGAAGAGACACACCTGCACTGATCTTGGTGAGCTGCGCCACTACCTTGGCCTGCAGATCACCAGGGACAGAGCTGCTCGCACCATTACACTTTCACAGTCGCACATGGTGCAGCAGGTCCTTCAGCGGTTCGGGCTTCAGCACTCCACAGTACAGCGCACACCTCTTGCTGTTGACCACAGACTCACTGGACCCTTTCCTGACGAGCCGTTCGAGCCTAGTGGTCCCTACGCAGAGCTTGTGGGTTGCCTCATGTACCTGATGACTTGTACTCGCCCGGACCTCGCCTTCCCTCTCAGCGTTCTTGCGCGCTTTGTTGCGCCAGGGAGACACCGTCCTGTTCACTGGACAGCAGCTGTGAGGGTGGCGAAGTACCTAGCGACGACGTCAGGCGTGGGGCTAGTTCTTGGAGGGCAGCAGTCTGTCGTACTTACTGGTCACTGTGACTCCTCTTACGCTGACGACGCTGAGACTCACAGGTCTACTCAGGGGTACTGTTTCAGCCTGGGTTCTGGAGCTGTTTCCTGGCGGTCCACGCGCTCCTCTTCGGTCTCGACCTCTACAGCTGAGGCTGAGATCTACGCTGGTGCCATGGCGGCACAGGAGCTGCGTTGGTTGACGTTCTTGCTCACCGACCTTGGTGAGCGGCCGAGCTCTGCACCGACCTTGTTCACTGACAACAAGGCGTCTATTCTCCTTTGTCGAGAGCCACGACTGGAGAGCAGAGTGAAGCACATTCACGTCAGGTACTTTCTTCTGCGAGAGTTGCAGAGGCGTGGACAGGCTCGCTTTGAGTTTGTGGAGTCCGAGGCCAACACTGCAGACATCTTCACCAAGGCGCTTCCGCCTTGTGACCACCAGAGGTGCTGTGTGCAGTTAGGCCTTGTTGACACTGGTTCTCGTGTTGCTTAGACTTGAGTGTACTGTTTACTTTGCTTTCTATATATCTCTGTTACTTCTTGGACTGGCCTTGTGGCCACTGTTGTTTGTGCTCAGACTGTGTGGTGACGTTGTGATCCACCCTGAGCCTTGTTTCTTGGACTGGTCTTGTGACCGTACTCGTTTGGTTCTGTTAGACACCCCTCACTTAGGCTATGGGGGTGTGTCAAATGTTGTAGCCTATAGTGAGGTTTGTCTTAGGGGGTACAAAACTTAGGGTTAGCTATATGTACCCCAACCAACATCAATGCACCATCCATTCTTCATTTTGACACATTGCTCCCTTCCTCGTCCGTGGTGTAACCAAACGAAAACACTGCAGCAGAAGCACCATCGGTGCCGCCCACTACCCCTGCTCCTGGCACTTCTTGGTCCACAAACACTTGGCTGTGCGCCGCCCCCTTAGGCCTCCACTCGTCACCCTCTGACTCAGACCCGCTACTGCTGCTGCCGCTGCTGTTACCGCTGCTACTGTGGTTACCAGTGCCTCGAGTTACAGCAGCAGAGGCGGGTTGAGGGAATGACGGCCGGCGGGGTGTGGGAAGGGCTTGTTCAGACGTGGGGGATCGGGGTACAGAGGAGGTGAGTGAGGAGGGCGAGGAGGAGAGAGAGGAACGAGAGGAGGAGGGAGAGGAGGAGGAAGGGACAGCGGTGGCGGAAGGAGGCATGCCGAAGAGCTGCAGTCTCAGCACGTCGTGCAGCTGATCCAGCAGCTGCTTCTTCAATGCGTCAAATGCCATCTCCAGACGTTGCAGCTGCACAAGGGAGGGTGAGGGGGGAATGGGGAGATAACAGATGGGATTGATTGAATGGGTGCACCGTGCATGGTTAGGAGCATGCTGTGCGGCTGATCCAGCACCTGCCCCTTTGCAGCATCAACTACCACCTCCAGACACTGCAGCTGCACAAGGGAGTGTGAGCGGGGTGAAAGGGAAGAGGCGAGATGGGAGTGGGAGAACTATGCTCAATTGCAACACGTGCTGCTTCGTCTTTTGATGCACCTCTGTTCAATAGATGTTTGCGACACTAGCAGAACCTTACCTCCTCAGTGGCGTTCGTGTTGTACATGAAAAGCCCGTAGTAGAGGTCGAAGCTGTCTCCCCATTGGAACCATACCTCCTCTACCTATCCAGCAACGAAACCTTACCTGCTAGGTGGAGTTTTGAGAGGTATCAAAAGTCGAAGCAGCCTCCCCATCGGAACCGTACCTCCTCTATCTAACCAGCAACAAAACCCTACCTCCTCAGTGGCGTTCGTGTTGTACATGAAGAGCCCGTAATAGAGGTCGAAGCTGTCCCCCGCCGTGTTCTCCACCTGCAAGTGGTGCGCACATCACGTGAAAGGGCACAAGTTTGTAGCTTGCGAGGAAGCAGCAAAAGGCTTTTGAGGCGCCGCAAAAGTCACCTTCACGTGGAGCGCAAGTGAAAGGGCACAGCTGGTGGCTGTTGACACATGGCAGAATCAGCAGACAAAGAGAGAGGCAGGGAGCAAGAGAGCAAAGATGGGGAACGAGAGCAAGAGAGCGCAAGCTCCACTATGCAGCGTTGAGATTCAAATTGCACGATGTGAAGTGGATTGTGCATGTTGGCATGTTGGGCATGAGGAGGCCACGCTGTGACTGCAGCAGGATGTGAGTGAGTGCATGCATACCAGGTTGAGAAGCGTCTCGTATCCCTTGGTGTTGATGGGTGTGCTCTCCAGGCCTAGCTTGCCCAACACTCTGCATGCCATGGTGGTGTGTCACATGCATCCCATGCACCCATGCACCCATGCACCCATGCACCCATGCACCCATGCACCCATGCACCCATCCAGGTTCCGTTAGATCCATGCGTATCGACACATGCATTCAAGCATATCAACACAAGGGAGGGAAAAGGGAGGGAAAGGGGAGGGGGAGAATATTAGAGCAAAATGGGCTCATTGTTGAGAAATCTAGTAGCGGTATAAGTTTCACCATTATCGTTATCCTTCATATTACTATCAGTATCACTGCTATCAATAATATTACCTGCATTACTAAAAAAATCAGTATTACTAGTACCATTATTCGCTCATTGCTATCACAACTATGAAAGAGGGGTGTGACTTCTGAAATGCCAAGTGCTAATAAAGAGCAACAAAAGAGAAATGGTGTGAGGCGTGGCGTGGGTAACAGAAGGGTTTGATTTGAAGAGGCAGCACGGGGCGGGGACCTCACCTGCCGATGTTTGAATCGACTCAATAATGGTGTGAGACGGGACGTGGGTAATAGAAGGGTTTGATTTGAGAGGCAGCATGGTGCGGGGCCCTCACCTGCCGACAGTGTGGGTGACGAACTGAGTGCCGGCAGCATACTTATCATGCTCCTCACATGTCATCTCCACCATGCGACACCCCTGAGGGATGGCACATGAGGACATGGGGGACATGGGGACATGGGGACATGGGAATTTGGGGACACAAAGAGACGAAGACCTCTCATGCGCCATTTATCATGCCCCTCACACGTCATCTCCACCATGCAACAGCCCTGAGGAATGGAAGATGGGGCAGGTTGGAGGGATGTGATGCGATGGGATGCGATGGGATGGGATGGGATGGGATGGGATGGGATGGGATGCGATGGGATGGGATGCACCAACCATACCCCTACTCAGTCAAACACGAGTGCAGTTGTGCACACTGGCCATTCACTTGCCCCCCTCCCACTCCCACTCCCTCACCACCACCTCCCCACCTCCTCTACTCCCCCCTCCTCATCACCTCTTCGTCCCACACCCCCTCACCTCCCCGTGGAGTACCCGCAGGAAGCGGTCAGTCTTCTCCGCCCTCTCCCAAGGCATGATACTCACGCAGTCAAACACCAACAGCAGCCCCTCCCACGAGCCTTATCATGCACCAAAAACTCACGTCCCCCCCCCAACCCTCTCACCTCGTTGTGGAAGATCTGAAGGAAGCGGTCGGCCTTCTCTGCCCTCCCCCCCGGGGTGATGCGCACGCGGTCAAACACAAACGACAGCCCCTCCCACGAGCCCTTGCCGCTCTCAGGGCCGAACATGGGGTGCGTGCAGAGGATGTCAAACTCGGGGGGGAGCACCTGGTGGATGGGGATGGGTGGGGGTGGAGAGGGTAGGATTGGTAAAGAGACCCTCTGCCGCTCTCTGGGCCGAACATGGGGTGCGTGCAGAGGATGTCAAACTCGGGGGGGAGCACCTGGTGTGTGGTGGGGAGGGAATGCAGAGAGGGGGAGGAGGCCACGTGAATGGAATGAGAAGAGAGCCCCTTGCCACTCTCGGGACCGAACATGGGGTGCGTGCAGAGAATGTCGAACTCGGGGGGAAGCACCGCACTGCATGAAGGCAGTGAGCCAACGCACCTGCAGCAGCAGCATCTTGGGGAAGACCTTGACGGAGAGCACGTCCACAAAGAGTGTGTTCCTCTTGAGGTGCTGCAGCGGCAGCGAGCACAGCTACTGCATTGCACCACATTGCACCGCACTGCATGAAGGCAGTGAGCCAACGCACCTGCAGCAGCAGCATCTTGGGGAAGACCTTGACGGACAGCACGTCCACGAAGAGCGTGTTGCGCTTGAGGCGCTGCAGTGGCAGTGAGCGCAGCAGTGCGTCGCTGGAGATGATGGACGTGCAGAGCAGCACCACGTCTGGATGGTCCTCACAGAAATCGTCCATGTCACTGCGGGGGTATTGGGATTGATGGGGAACAATTCAGAAGGGGTGGGGAGAGATTGCAGTGGCAGCGAGCACAGCAGGGCATCGCTCAAGATGATGGACGTGCAGAGGAGGACCACGTCGGGATGGATCATGGTCCTCGCGGAAATCATCCATGTCACTTTGGGGAAGCCCAAAGACGCGCGGAAAAGGGGAGGGCAGGGGGGATGGGAGAGGGGAAGGGAGGGCAGCAAGCGCAGCAGCGCGTTGCTTGAGATGATGGCCGTGCAGAGGAGCAGCACGTCGGGATGCTCTTCGCAGAAATCGTCCATGTCGCTGCGGGGAAAGGGGCAGGGGTACACAGGAAAGTGGAGGGCAGAGACAGAAGCAGAGCGGCGCGCTGCTTGAGATGATGGCCGTGCACAGGGGTGCCATGCCGGGGTACTCCTCACAACAATCATACACATCCCTGGGTAGCAGGGGGGGAAGGGAGGGGAAGGGGGGAGGGGAGAAGGGGGAAGGGGAGAGAAGGGAGAAGGGGAAGGGGAGAGAAGGGAGAAAGGGAAGGGGAGAGAAGGGAGAAGGGGGAAGGGGAGGGAAAAAGGGAAGGGGAAGGAAAAGGGGATGGAGATTGCAGGGTTCTTCACGTGAAGGGTTCAACCTGGTGAGTGTAAGCGGCACTTGCAAAGAGTTAAAAATGAGAGGTGCAGCACAGCACAGCCACTTTGCAGGTATCTCCTTGATTTTTGAGTCGACTCAAAAATGAGAGGTGCAGCACAGTCACATGTCAAAAGAGTGTAAGCCACTTTGCACGTATCTCCTTGCTCTCTTCTTTTCTCATGTCAACACCTGAGTACTACACTCTGCTTTCCACACACTCACGAGTAGTCGGACCGACTTTTGAGACGCCTCAAAAGTCTTTCAGCGCTCTCACGGCACGAGTCTGCTTTTGAGTCGACTCAAAAGATCTCACGGCACGAGTAGTTGGACCGCAACCAGGCTGGCAGGCGGTGAGCGTGCGCAGCAAGTGAATCGAAGGCTTTGTAACTATGGCGCGCGGTGCGGTGCGGATGGTACCATTATGAGCTGAGCATCCACACCGCACCGCACCGCACCCCACCGCACCCTATACTTACAATGGCGCTGCTGCTGCAATGGAATTTGCCTTGGAATCTGCCACTGCTGCATGGCGGCGCGCGGACGCCATACTTCCATTGAAGCGAATGGAATTGAAGGCAATGTAAGTATGGTGTGCGGACGGCGCAGTGCAAATCGACAGCAGCTGCTTTTGAGACACCCTCGTCTCAAAAACACCTTCGTTTCACGTGTGGACGACACACTTCTACTGAAGCAAAGCGAATCGGAGGCAATGTACGTATGGCGTGCGGACGACGCCGTGCTAATCGACAGCAGCTGCTGGTAACCATTGCGTGCCAAACTATTACGCTAAAGAGACGCACGCGCTTGGAGAACCAACGACGCGCGCAGGCACTCACGTGAAGAAACGCACGCCCATCTGCTTGGCAACCTGCGAGTAGTCGGACCGCGACCACGCTGTCAGGTGGTGCCCATGGCGCGCGAAGCGCCGCGCCAAAAACTGTCCGAAATTCCCGAACCCCAAAATGCCGATCTTCAACCTGCCCTTCTCCTCCAGACGCCGCTTCTGATTGGCGGAAAGGCCACGGGACAAGGGAGACGGGATTTCAAAAAACGATGGGGAAGATGGGGTTAGGCTGGGGAAAATGGAAGAGGTTCGGGGAGACGGGAACGCGTTAGGGAGAGGAGAGGGGGAAGGAACGGGAGAGGCAAGGGAGCAGGGGTAAGAGGGTTGAAAGACAGCAAAAAAATTACGAGGCGACTCGTTGCTCGTCGATGCGTCAGTACAGTCACCTGTTGATGCTCGTAATCGAACGGCTGAGCTGCGTCGAGCGCGCGGACCGGCAACATTCCGCCTCTCCGCGAGCTATGTCGTGATCTCATTGCCTGGCCTTTGATTGGGTGTCCGGCGCTCAGCGTCGGAAGGCCACAGATAAACGACGCGGCATTCTCGAGGTGCGAATGTCGCGAATGTCGCGAATGCGCAGGGGCAATGCCGAAATCGCCCAGTAGCGCGTTTGACGGCGCACCTACGGCTCGGAGGGCCATCAGCGCAGACTGGAAAATGCCTGATCAAGCGGGATACACAAGGTTGTGACGCAATCCGTCGTGGATTTAACCGATAAACAGACAGAAAAAGGAGCTGTTTTTTATTTCCTCCTAAATGACGGGATCCGGCACAATGGCAGAAAATCAAGGGATGGGGGAGAGAGACAGCGAGGCAGGCGTGTTTCACGCTAAGCCACTCCACCAACAAGCTGTGCCTAGGTGGTGGAATGGCGTCTCGTGTTGGCAAGACATGGAACCTTGGGAATGCCATGCTGGTTGAAGTACGAAACACTCGAAATCCACTACTGTGTAACAAACGTGATTTTAAAAGGAGAGCGCACGAAGAGTCCGATTGCGAAAACATCCCTACTTCTCGCATTCGCACACAGACCACGGCCACAGCGGGAGTTTGGAGAAGACGAGGCAGGGGCAGGTTCGCAAGGCAACTTACACGCTACAGTCATGCCCATTCAGGGTGGTTTACCTTCGAATTTCTGACTTGCACCGAGCCAAACCGTTCACTTCTCCCCGCTTGGGTAAAATTCCCGCCAAAAAGCATTTTCCCCAATGGCCAGCAGAGCACAAGTGTTGTGGTAGCACTTTCACTCAACGACTCCACGCGATTCGTGCTCACATAACGAGTTATCTGAGAGACCCGCAACGACCATCCTTGGTTTCCGACGTCACTCCGGCGGCGGCATTCGCTATCCATCTAAGTAGTAATGGCGGCGACTAGTCGCGTGGTACCAATGCAAAGCGCATCTCGGCAACTGTCGGGATCAACACTCGGCCGACAACGAGCGACAGCGTCCGTTGCGCCGTGTAATGCGGGCAGCGATTTGGGCGTGCGACAACGCATTCAGGTGCCGCAGCTTCGCTGTGCGACCTCCCTATCCGTTATTTCCCGTCTAGAAATATGTGCGGTCGGGTGATTGCGTCAGCTTGATCGCGTCAGACTGATCACGGTCACCTTTGTGTCGCCCGCGCACCAAGTCGCGACATACAGGTGCTATCACTAAGTCAAGCCAGCGCACAGCAAAGAGAGAGTGGCACTATCGCACTCTGCTGCTGGCATCGCGCCTCGCTGCTAGTATCCTCCTTCGCTGCTTTCCTCCTGAGTCCAGCGCTTCTTTCGTGTCATCCATCTCCCCCCCTCTCCCCCCTTCCCACCCCCCCCCGCTCCCCCCTTCACGTTCCCCCCTCATCCCATCAGGCTGGCCTTGCGCGGATAAGCGGAGTGCGAATCACCCCCGTGCAGACACCCGCGCGCGGAAGAGCAGCGCCATCCGCGGAAGGGGCGCGCAGGCGCGGGGGGTTGGCGGTTCGCGCCGTGGAGGATCACCAGCTAGCGCCGCTGCCGTACCAGCTGGTACGCGCTCCCCCCTCTTAAACCCTTAACTCGCGCGCCGGCAGAGCCGGTACTTGTGGTAGATGCGCCACCCCTGATGCTTGCCGGTGCCCTGGGTTTCGGGTTTAAAGATGGCGCATGACAACACCTTAAACCTCAAACCTCGCACATGCCAATCATCTTGAATCATCTCTTTTCTTCCCTCGGAGACCCACCCCTGTTTCCTCTCCTTCCACCCTTCCCCCTTCCCCTTCCCCTTCCCCTTCCCCTTCCCCTTCCCCTTCCCCTTCCCCTTCCCCTTCCCCTTCCCCCCTTCCTTCCCCTTCCCCCCTTCCTTCCTCCTCCGCCCTTCCACTCCTCCTTCCGAAGGACGCATTAGAGCCACACATCTCGCAGTCGGCGCTGGAAGCCCATTGGTCGGGGCACCACGGGCGCCAGCTGGTGGCGCTGAACCGCCAGCTGGACGCTGACCTGGCGCTGAAGCGGCTGCCATTGGAGGAGCTGGTGAAGGTGGCTTATAACGGGGGCAACCCCCTTCCCTGCTTCAACCTCGCTGCTGAGGTGAGCTAAGGGAGAAGGGGGTGTTGATGTGCTTATAACGAGATGGTGAAGGTGGGGGCAACTCAATTCTCTGCTTCAACCTCGTTGCTGAGGTGGGTGAGGCGTGGATGTGCTTACAACGAGGGGCTAGTGGAGATCAGATTGGTCTTTACTAACAGAGAGTGAGTGTGTGCACGCGTGCATGCGTTCATGTGTGCGTGTGTTCCAGGGTGAGTGTGTGTGCGTGCGTGTGTGCGTGCGTGTGTGCGTGCGTGTGTGCGTGCGTGCGTGCGTGCGTGCGTGCGTGCGTGCGTGTGTGTGTGTGTGTGTGTGCCTGTAGAAGAGGCTTCTCTCCTCTCGTCCCCTCATTTTAGGCGTGGACCGGACTGGGAGGTGCTGTGATTGCTCTCCCCCTCACTCTCCTCTTTCCTCCCTCCACACCTCTCTCCCCCCTTCCTGCAGGCGTGGAATCACGAGTTCTTCTTCTCGGGATTGCAGCCGGCAGATGAGACAGCAGGCAGGGAGGAGGGCAATCGGCCAGAGGGGGAGGTGCTGCGGCTGGTGGAGCGCGACTTTGGGTCGGTGGAGGGGTTTCAGAGGGAGTTCCGCCAGGCGTGCGCCTTGTCGTTCGGGTCAGGATACGTGTGGCTCTCAGGTAACGCGCCGGGCACGAGCAGCTGATCTGATCTTGATCTCTTCTCATACTTAATCCCTATCTTAGAAGCCCCCGGGGCGGGAACCTACATGCGTGAACCTTACTAAAGTTGATCAACTGGTTGTGACGCGTGGAGGTTAGCACCGCTGGTGATGCTTCTGAAGGGTGGCGAAGTGTCGTGACTGGTCGACAGGTACCAATTTTTAAACCCGTTCTGCGGAACCTTGAAGAAAGACTGCTGAAATTTGGGACACTAGTGTGGTTGGCCAAATTTTAGGTGGCTTTTTGAGTCACCTGGGGTAAGGTAAACCCTAAACCACTGTAGAGCTAAGAGCACTTAAAAGTCACCTCAATAGTGTGGTCGGCCACCTTACGTGGCTTTTATGGTTTCATTCTCTCACCATTCCCTCCGCCTATTTCATCGTTCTTGAGACTGCCATTGTTTTAACAATGTCATTGTTCCTGTTCCTCCTTCCCCTTCCCCTCCTCTTGTTCCTCCCCCTCCCAATCATCTCGTTCCTCCTACCGCTCTTCTGTTTCTCCTCCTTCATCTGCTTGCACCAGCCAAGGTGGACACGGTTGTTCCAGAGGAGTGGCTTGCAGACATGCGAGGTGAGGAGTGGCTTGCAGACATGCGAGGTGAGGAGTGGCTTGCAGACATGCGAGGTGAGCTCAGATGCTATGTGCATGGATGGTAGGATCAGCTATCTTGAGTGGTCACATGCTGGGGATGATAAGTGGACATGCGAGGTGAGATGAGGATGATAAGTGGACGTGCGAGACGAGCCCAGGATGATAAGGCCCTTCACTCCTCCCTCCTGTACTCGAGTCTTAGCACAACGTAAACTTAAGATTTATTCTCCCCTGCACTTTTGTCCCGCTACTGCATTCCCCCAGTGCCCAACACGTATCGCTTGCAGGTGGCACATCTGCGAGTGGAGAGGACAGTCAATGCCTTCAACCCGCTTGTCTTTGACCGCATCGTGAGCCACCCGCTCGCTCACGCGATGCTGCCTTGAGTCATTCTCAAGGCACTTGAGTCGTTCCATTTCTTCTTTAGGCGCAATCTGTTTTCGTTAGAATTGCCTGTAACCTGTCTGCCTTTCGATCGACCGCATTGTGAGTCGCTCAGTCGTTTCACGCAATTGCTGCTACGTGTGGAACAGAACGTGACGTCGGTGAGTGTAGCATGAAGCATTCAATCTGTACCACCTAAATAGTGAATAGTGAAGAGCGCTTTGATTAAGCCATCCAACTTTGCTTTTCCCCACCCACCAACCTCTTCTCCACCCCTCTCTCTTTTCCTCTGCCTCTTGTTCCCCTTTTTCCTACCCCACCCACCTTTCTCTTTCATCCTCCTACTCCCCCGTCCCCATCGCCGGTTCTGGCCATTCCTGCAGCCCTTGGCAGTGCTTGACTTGTGGGAGGTATGGTGCCCTGAGCGCCTCTCTTGCTGCTCCAGTGTGCCTGATGGTCTGGTTGTTGACAGTGGGGTGATTGCCATGCCGATCAATGCCTTCTGACACCTCAAATTGATTGCTTCAAGAATTCGTAACGATTTGTGTGTGTTTTATTCTTTACAGTCATATCCTTTTCCCTAACGACTTTTTTCCTCGACCACATCTATCTCGTTCTTCCTGCTCCTCTTTTCCCATTCCCTGTTCTCTTACACCTCGCCCCTCCCCTGTCATCATCCCCCCACCCCCCCTCCCACACCCCTGTTCCTCTCTCCTCCCAGCATGCCTACCTCTCGGACTATCCCAATAACAGATCAGCTTATGTAGAGGCATTCTTGCAGCACCTGATGTCATGGGATGCGGTGGCAGCACGAGTGGACCGGGCCAAGTCGCTCACCAACTTCTGGGAGATGCCAGCTCCTCCCGACGCCTTCATCCGCCCAGGATTCGTTGCTGACCGTCCGATCCCGCTCGATGCTCTCAAGAGCATCAAATGACCGCTACATGCGGCTAGTGTCGGTGTTTACTGTTAGGATGTGCTGTCTGTCGGATAAATGTGGATGACTTGATTCACAATGAATAGCATTGCTTTAAGTGCTGAGAATAAAATGAGCGACGTCCTCCCTCGAACGATCGCATAAACGATGTATTACCTGCAAGCGCAGCGTTGATGAATGTTTATCCTCTCTTGGCTTGAAGAAATAGTCCGACAGTTAGCACTAGTGGAAATACTAGGCCACTACTACTATGTTGGGGAAATAACAATAGAAGTTAGCACTAGTGTCTGTAATGTTTTATTATTGTCTTTTTCATTTCAGCTTCAACCAATTTGATCGGTAACGAAGCTGTCTTGCAAAATCATCGCCGGAATTGCTCCCCTGTCAGACGTCCATTATGTGTCGCCGCCGAGCTGCTGCTGTGGTTCAATCATTTGTCGACACCAAGTCGACGTCATACGATACGGTGCAAAGCGTTCTCGCGCTTTACTGTCGCGTTTCTGTGCGTTGCATTCAGAGCTTTATGGATTGGCATTCAGCCTGGGAATCTCTTGGCGTGTACAGCATCTGCAAAGCAGAATCCGCAACGCGGTATTACTCAAGACTTCAGCACAGCACCTTGCTTCATTTGCTTCTGGTTGCTCTGCAAGCTCCACTCCCTACTATTCTTTCGTCCTTTCCCCGTAGCGCTCTCCGCCGTTATCGAAATAATGGCGGAGCAGCAGACCCAACAGCAGCAACAGATGTCGCAGCAGCAGTCGCAGATGTCGCAGCCGTCGCAGCAGCAGATGCAGGAGCAGCTTCAGGCGGCGTTAGATCGTCTCCTATTGGCCAACGACCCCGCGGCTGGGCAGTGGCTCGGCGCGTTTCAGCAGTCGCAGGAGGCTTGGCAGGTCACGCATTCCATCCTCGCTAGTGCTGCCTCGCTACTAGCATCCTCCTCCTCCTCGCAGACGCCACAGGGAATGTCGCCGTCTGCCAATGCGTTGATCCTCTTCGCCGCACAGACGCTACGGTCCAAGATTCAGCTACAGCTGTCAGCTCTTGATTCGTCAGCGCGAGCCGCACTGCTATCTGCTCTCTTCTCCCTCTTCCAATCATTCTGCTGCGTTTCCAACCAGCACCAGGTAACCAGGATCAGGTGACCAGCTTCAGGTAACCAGCTTCAGGTAACCAGCTTCAGGTAACCAGCATTACGTCAACATCAGGTAACTACATCAATAGATTCAGGTATCCACAACAGTCAGCATCGGGTAACCACAGAAATGAGCCTCAGAAAGGTGACCACATACTGTGCAGCGCCCCCCCCCACCCCCCCCCCCCCCTCGCCCCTTTTTCCCCTGCCCCCTTCCGCCTCGCCTCCCAGGTTCTCCTTCAAATCTGCGCGTCCATCTCAGCGCTTCTCCTCCAATCTCCGGGCACTGCGGCTGACTTGGAGGCCAGGCTAGAAGCTGCCACGTCAGCAGCGGAAGGCGGAGGGGGAAGTGTGTGGGGGATGATGGGGGGAGTGGTGGAGCTACTGGGGGCGGTGGGGGACGAGTGCACGGACGAGCAGCGGTGGTCCGTTGGGGTGGTAACCCTGCAGCGCAAACACGTCTTCTGCATGGAGGTGAGTGGAGGAGAGGGTAGGAGGGGGAGGCGCGTGGGGGATGATGGTGGGAGTAGTGGGGGGGGGATGAGTGCACGGACGAGCAGTGGTGGTCTGTGGGGGTGGTGACTCTGCAGCGCAAGCACGTCTTCTGCATGGAGGTGAGTGGAGGAGAGGGTAGGAGGGGGAGGCGCGTGGGGGATGATGGTGGGAGTAGTGGGGGGGGATGAGTGCACGGACGAGCAGTGGTGGTCTGTGGGGGTGGTGACTCTGCAGCGCAAGCACGTCTTCTGCATGGAGGTAGGGGGGAAAGGGGGGGGGAGAGTGTGCAATCAACAAGGACAACGGAAACGCATGCTCTGCAAAAGGAAATGCGGAATTCAATATGTTGGTGCTCCTTGGGCTGCTGCTGCTGCTACTGCTGCTGCTATTGCTGTCTCTTGCCCCCCTGCTGCCTGTGTGATTCCTGGCTCCTCTATCCGTCTCGTGAGTCCCCCACATGCATCGTGCTTTCTTGTCTCACACGCCCCTCCCTTCTCCTTGGGTTTAAAACTCTTCAAAACCGGTCTCAACCCTTGTTCCTTTCCCTTGCTCCTCATGCCCTGCCCTTGCTCCCCATGCCCTGCCCTTGCTCCCCATGCCCTGCCCTTGCTCCCCATGCCCTGCCCTTGCTCCCCATGCCCTGCCCTTGCTCCCCATGCCCTGCCCTTGCTCCCCATGCCCTGCCCTTGCTCCCCCCCCATGCCCTGCCCTTGCCCATTTACCCGCCCACTGCCTCCCCCTCATGGCGTGCAGATCCTGTCCCACAGCAAATTCGTGGCCATGCTGCTGCAGAAAGCTTCGTCATTGTCACTCTCAGCACTGTCACAGTCCCAAACAGCACCAGGAGCAGCAGCAGAAGCAGCGGATCGTTCTGTCGGCCTCAGCCTGCTGCACAAGACGCTCAGATGCCTCTTCACATGGGTACATGGATGCCTCTTCACCAGTGCACTCGTAGCGCTGCCCTTTGCACTGAAAGCTTCAACGTTGTCATGAAGCATGCATTGTGTCTGTCTTGGCTCAGTACTTCTCAGTTGCGCACTCAGGCCATGCTGTGCCGATAGCGTGTCTACCCTCTCTACGTCTGTACAGCCAGGCAGGCAACGACCATATCTACCCTGCCCACCCCACCACCCCCCTCACCTCACCCTTCCCTCCCTCTCTCTCTCCCCTTCTTCGACTTGGTTCCTCCTCGTCGCCCTTCTTCCCCTCTTCCATTGTCGTCTCCCTGAGCACTGGTGCTTTTGTGAAGGTGCGGATTGGTTTCCTCACGGACCTGTTAGCAGCCGACACGTGGCAGTCACATGTGCTGCCATTGGTGGAGCTGGCTGCTGATTCCCTCCAGGTATGTGATTTCTCGGCACGTGCAAGAAGAGCGAGGGGAGGAAGGAAGGAAGGAAGGGAAGGAGGGGAGAACGTAGGCGGCAGGGAGCGGGAAATGAATGAGAGATGGAGAGACAGGGGGGATGCTGAGGGAAGAGAGGGAGAAAGAAAGGAAGGACATACGGTGCAAATTAGTAGACTTGTGATGTCCTCTGTGCTTCCCTCCACTTTCGCATGTGTGCTTGTTCCTCGCTTTTCAATCTCGGACTCCTTCCTATCATTTCCCCCAAACCCCTTTCCATCACTATTCCATGCAAATATCTCATGCCATGCATCGTCTTATGCCATGCATCATCCCATGCCATGCAACATGCCATCCCATGACATGCAACGCATCAGGAGGCAAGTCTGTGCGAGGTGGCAACAGAAGTGGTGGGCGAGATGGCCAGCCGCCACGAGGTGACGCATGGGGTGGGGTGGGATGGGGTGTCATGAAGGGGATCACATGAGGAGGGAATAGGGTGCGGGTACGTGTGGAGCCAGCTCATATGAGAATGATGGTTGGAGAGTGGTGGGACCACGCTTTGGTACTCTTCTTAAGTGTGGAGCTGCATTACCACAGAGACAGGCCAACCAACGCAATGGTCCCTCTCATCGAATCAAACCACTCTCCAGAGCACAGCAACTAGCAGTTGTCCTTCGGTACATCCCGAGAATCATTCTCATCCCAAGCATGTCCCCTCCTTCCCCCTCTGCCACTTGCCTTCATCCTCCCCTCCCGCGCCCGCAGTCCCTACTCCCAGCCATCACCCCCCGCCTCCTCTCCTCCTTCTCCCAAGCCGCCATCACCCACCCCGACGCCTTTCCTCCCCTCGCCTCGCCTCCATCCAATGCTTCTGCTTCTGCTGCGGCTGCGTCACCATTTGCCAGTGGTGCTGCTGGTGGCGCTGGTGGCGGGGGCAGTAGTATGGATGAGGAGGAGCGAGAGAGGCTCGTGGCTGCTTTTGCGTCGGCTATAGCCGATGTTGGCCTGGCGGTGAGTGGCATTGGGGCATGGGGAAGAAAGAGGGGCATTTGGGGGCAGGGGCGGGGCTTTTAAAATGGTCTGTTGCCAGTGCTGGTGCTGGTGCTGGTGCTGGTGCTGGTGCTGGTGCTGGTGCTGGTGCTGGTGCTGGTGCTGGTGCTGGCAGTGAGGAGGGACGGGAGTGCATGGCTGCTGTGTTTGCATTTGCTGCTGTTGCAGACTCTAGGTTGGAGCGAGTGTTCAAAGGAGATTTTGAAACATTGTGCATCTACTTTTAGATCTTAACGAGGTGACTTTTGAGTCGACTCAAAAGTCACCTCGAGTGTTCAAAGGAGGTTGAAACATTCTGCATCCACTTTTAGATCTTTCTTTCTTTCCTCGTGTGTTTTTGAGAATTCTCAAAAAGAGACTTCAACGCTTCCTCGATAAACATGTGGTCTCTATAGAGATATTGGGCCTCAATGCATGTCTTATTGTATTCGATTGCCATCACGCACTTACCATCATGCTCCATGCACTTACCATCACGCTCCATGCACTTACCATCACGCTCCATGCACTTACCATCATGTCACAGGGCCCTGCACACGTGCTGCTCTCGCCGCACCTGCGTGACCCCTTCGCTACTGCTGCCCTCAGGTGAGCTCCTTCCTTCCTGCTGCCTTTCTCGTCCAACCAGAACCTTTTCCTTATGCCTGCCTCGAGGTGCACACACACTCTTAACCCAATCCTCATCTCCACTCTGTCAACCCCATCAAAAGGCCATCAATTGCAATCCTCAGTCTCCGCTCTCTCGCCAGACCACCACTCCAACCATCATTCTCATATGTGTGCCCAATTTCTGAGTTGACTCAAGCATCAGCTGCAGCCCTGCATCGCCACTTTCTCACCAGGCCACTCCCTCTTTCCAACCCGCCTTCTCAGATGTGCGTCGGTGCGCTCCTCCGATCACCGCATCGCCATATCCCTGCTACCCCTCTGGTGAGCACCAACTTCAGTGCTGTCTCTTCGTGGTGAAACATAGTGCCGTGAGCCATGCTAAGGAGGTGACTCTCGAGTTGTCTCAAGAGCCATTCTTCGTTACAATAGCACACGGCGACACTGGTGAGCGCACCCGATTCTGTGCCTACCTCTTGGTGTGTCAGGCCCGAGCGAGTTTCACTATCTGCCTCACCCGGTCACTACCCATCACCATCATCACTTGATCATCCCCAGCATCCTTGCTGGCGCCCTCTTCTGTCACACCACTCACCCCCTCTTGCTGGCGCCCTCTTCTGTCACACCACTCACCCCCTCTTGCTGGCGCCCTCTTCTGTCACACCACTCACCCCCTCTTGCTGGCGCCCTCTTCTGTCACACCACTCACCCCCTCTTGCTGGCGCCCTCTTCCTCAGGTCAGGCCTGAGCGAGTTTCTCTCCTCCTGCCTCAACAACCCATCATCGCCCTCGCCACCGGCGCTATCAGCCCAGGACGCAGCAGCGACACAGGCCATTCTCCTTGCCGCTCTGCCCCTGTGCCTCTCGCATGCCAAGGTGGGTTACGATGGAGGAATGGCAAGAGGCGCATGGGAGGGGGCAGATGTCAGGGGGGAGACGACACAGGGTAGATGATATGGGGCAGATGGCTGTGTAAAAATATAGGGGCATGTAGCAGTGCCTCTCGCACACCAAGGTGGGCTACCCCACCCATCCCTTTCAGTACCCATACTGTTCACATCACACCCGTTTGCTTGACCCATCCATTCCTGCCAACCAGAGAGGCCCTCCCTCCCGCCAGCAGATGCAGGTGCGGAGAGCACGTGCTGAGCATCCAATCTCAGTGCGCGCTTTTGAGAGGTGTGGATAAACTTATTAGAGCTTGAAAAAAAGTTGGGGGGGGGGGGGGGGGGGGGGGGGGGGGGGGTGGGGGGGGAAGAAAGAAGGAAACAAAGAAAAGGAAAACCAGTGCTCCCCTTGATATGTACATGCCCGCACGCATCCAGCTCAGCACGGCCATTGCAGGCGGCGGGATGACAGGCGGAGCAGCAGCAGCAGGAGGAGGAGGAGGAGGAGGAGGAAGATGAGGCAGAGGCAGCAGCAGAGGACTACCGGGAGCAGCTGGAAGAGACGCTGGTGGACTTGATGAAGGCAGTTGGCACAGCAAACTACCTCTCCACTGTGAGTGTTGCTAGGTTTCATTCAATACGATCACTGTGTGCTCTAAGGGGGGTTGTGGCACTAGGAAGCAGCAGATCAGCAGCCGGAGGAGACGCTGGTGGATTTGATGAGAGCAGTGGGGGCGGCGAGCTACCTCACTTGTGTCACTATTGCTTGGTCTGACTCGATAGAACCTGTGTTTCTCCGATTTTTTTTTTTTTAATTAATTTGGACATTACGAAGTGGCGGTGGCCTACTGGGAGCAGCTGGAAGAGATTTTTGTGCTTGTGATGAGAACGAAGGGCTGGAGCTCCAGTGCTGGGTGCTGCTAGCTCTCTCTCTTGTGTGAGTATTGCTGGGTATGTTTCGTGTGGGAGATGCAGTTTGATTATTCTGGCGGATGTGATGGATTTGTGCACGCAGTGCTATTTCATCCGTGTATGTGTGTGAACCATGACTTGACTCATTCAGGAGAACCTTTCTCAGTGAAAGACGTGAACTGACTGACTGCAGGCGCTGCGAGCCACCTTCAATCAAACATGTCCGTTCTGCCTTTCCTGCTGCATGCGCCCATGGTTCCCCTCCCCCCATCCCTGCTGCCTGCCTGCAGGCGGCACCAGTCCTGCTAGCCTCTCCCACCCCTCAACCCCACCAACTGCTTACCGACCCTTCAGCACTGGAGCTGCAGCTCTTCGCCTCCCAGGCCGTGAGTGTCTGTGGCAGATGCTGACCGATGTAGGAGCAGTGAGTGAGTGAGTGAGAGAGTGAGAGAGTGAGTGAGTGAGTGAGTGGCAGGTTGAACTGTGGGTTTGTGTGTGTCAGGTTGCATCCCATGTTGCTCCATGCACTGTGCCATCATCTCAAGCCAAGGTACCATTGCGCTCATGTCAGGTTTTGATGCCTCTCAAATTGCCTCTTGATCCATACCAAGTGTGTGACCTGCACATGCTATTTCCGTGAATGCCATGCTGCAGGTTGGCCAGGTGGCGGATTCTGATAGGCCAGAGGACGTGGCATGGGCGTGTCAGGTGCTCTCAGCAGTTGCCGCCGTTGCAGCTGCTGTTGCTACAGCTCCCCAGCCTTCCATTCCTCCCCGGCTACAGCCATGGGTGAGTGGCGCTACAGCCATAAGTGAGTGGCGCTACAGCCGTAAGTGAGTGGCGCTACAGCCGTAAGTGAGTGGCGCTACAGCCGTATGTGAGTGGCGCTACAGCCATAAGTGAGTGGCGCTACAGCCGTAAGTGAGTGGCGCTACAGCCGTAAGTGAGTGGCGCTACAGCCGTAAGTGAGTGGCGCTACAGCCGTGGGTGAGTGGCGCTACAGCCGTAAGTGAGTGGGCCCATGCTGCAGAGCGAGGTTGCACCAAAGCCTGGCAACAGCAATAGGGCAGTCGAGTAATAGCGGCTGCTACTTCCCTTGCAGCATCTCCCCAGTTGCCCATGCCTCCATGCTCCTGCCCTGGGTACATGAGACGCACATTAAGCCATTCCGCCGTCACTTACATTCATCGCATGCTCCATTACATGCGCCCATCACATTCGCCATCACATTACATGTTCCCATCAAATTCCCCATCACATGACCCGTTCCATCTCATCCCCCCATGCCATCGCCCCATGCCGCCTCATGCCATCCCTATGCCATCCCTATGCCATCCCCAGGCCAACAACCCATGCCATCCCCCCATGCCATCACCCCATCATCCTGCTCAACAGGTGCACCGAGCAGTAGCAGCCAATGTGTTGGCATACCTCTCCTTCCTCCCTCGTGTTCCAGCCATCGTCCCTGCCTTGCTGTACGTCCCTTCCCTTCCCTTTCCTTCCCTTCCCTTCCCTTCTCTTCCCATTACATCCAGTACCTTCCATTCCATCCCTTTCCATCCCTTCCCTATCCCCTTTTCCTCTCCTTCCTCTTCCTTCACCCCTCCCATTCTCCACAGCTCTGCCTCTTTTCCTTTCCCATGCACATCTGTTCCTCCTGCCCTCCAACCCTCTCTCTCGTGACGTTGGCCTCCCACCCTGCCAGCCAATCTCTAGCACACAAGCTTCTACTTTTGAGGCGCTTAAAATATTGACCCTTTTTCTCGCCACCCACACCCCCCCCGTCAGACAATCCCTCTCGCGAGGGCTGCTGCCTCCCACAACGCAGCAAGCATCCCCCGCAGGAGCCACACCCGCACCTGCAAGGGGCGGCAGGAGGGTCAGCAGCAGCAGAGGTGGCAGTGGCAGAGCGAGTGAGCAGGCCACATCTGCGTGTGCTGCTGCTCTCTGCGCCCTGTGTGAGGCACACAATGCCAATGACTCTGCTGCGGTTGCATCAGCGTCGTTGAATGAAGGCTTGGCGGCACAGCTAGTGGCTGTGGGGGAGGTGAGCATGACTTTTGAGTCGACTCAAAAGTCACGGCGGCACAGCTAGTGGCTGTGGGGGAGGTGAGCATGCAACGGTGGGTGAGTGAGGTGAGGTTGAGGTGATGGCAGCTTCCAGTTTAGTGAGTTTATAGCTGCGACAGAAGCTAAATGCTCTCACCCAGGAACTTATTCTCACCTGGTCATCTTGAAACCCTTGCAGAGTGTCACGCCATTGCTTGGCATTTGTTCTTGCCAGCTGGTGAGTTTATTGCTGCGGCAGGAGCTGGACGCTTCCACCCAGGAACTCGCTTTTGTTAGGTGAGCTTGCAGCCTTTACAGAGCGGCACGCCATTGCTTGACATCTGTTCCTACCAGCTTGGTGAGCTTTTAGATGTTGCAGAAGTTGAACGCTCTCATCAAGAAACTCACTCCCGCCGGGTGAGCTCGAAACCCTCGCTGAGCGCCACGCCCTTAGTTGGCATTTGCCAACTTCTCCGCAAGGCGTGCCATTCTACGAGGTTTCGAGCTCACTCGGCGGGAACAAGCTCCTAGGTGAAAACGTCCAAATCCTCCTGCAGTAATAAACTCACCGAGCTGGTAGGAACAGATGTCAAGCAATGACGTGACGCTCTGCAAGGGTTTCAAGATCACCCAACAAGAACGAGTTCCTGGGTGAAAGCGTCCAGCTCTTGCCGCAACAATAAACTCACCAAGCTGGCAGGAACAAATGTCAAGTGATAGCGTGACGCTGTGCGAGGGTTTCAAGATGACCAGGTAAGAGCAAGTTTCTGGTTGAGAGCATACAGCTCCTGCCGTAGCTAAGGAGGGGTAACTCAGCACCACGCTTCCACCTGCCTTTGCTTTTCTTTCTATGCAATAACTTTCCGAAACAATTTCTCGCAAGGAAGGAAGGAAACACAGTGTGCACTCTTTTGCTCATTCCTTCTCTCCCGCTCCCTCGAACCCCCCCCCCTCCCTCCATTGTTCTCTACCCCTCTTTCCCCCCTCCACCTCCTTCCTCCACCCCTCTCTTCACCCCTTTCAGACCCTACACCTGGCGCCGCTACAGCCGAAGCAGGAGGCGGACGTCATCACAGCAGTGGCCTCCGCTGTTTCCTCCCTGCCGCCGTCCCACCTGCTGCTCGCACTGCAGCGCCTGCTGCAACCCATCCTTGCAACCCTGCACGCCTTCTCCGCAGTAAGTTATGACTTGATTTCACACTGAACCCACCTGCTGCTGGCGCTGCAGCGCCTCCTGCAACCCATACTTCGCAACCCTGCACGCATTCTCGGTAGGTGATGCTCCTGCTATTACCTTTGAGTCGATGCTAGACCCTGCTGCTGCTGGCACTGCAGCGCCTGCAGCACCCCGTGCTCGCATCTCTGCACGCATTCTCGGTAGGTAATTCACTTGCTATTCTGAAGTCGAAGCTAGATTCCAACACAACAGGGCTTCCAGCACCAAACAGAGGAACATAGCTCCACGAATGAGCTGTGCTGACATGTGCGAAAGGGACTCTCAATGCTCTCACCAGCCATCCCCATTCACTGTTATGAAGATTTTTCCTTTTCTTTTCATTTCTTTCTTCAACGATCTCGTGCTCCCTGCTTTCATCCGCCGCACAAACCCCCCGGCCCCACCCCCCGTAGCAACAACTGACCAACAAGAGCTGCTGTGAGGCTGCTGCTTCCTTCACCAGGTGAGGCATTTCCACTCCATCCAACAATGGGAGGCAATGCAAAGGCGCAAACTCGTGGATTTAGTTCCTCTTCACCTTCTCTTGCACCTTCTCTTGCACCTTCTGTTCGGTTTCGACTCCTGTTTTGCCTCCTGCGCCAACACTACGCACTAATTGTTCCAGAAACTCCGCAAACTATATTTTTTTCCCCTCCAGGCTCACCATTCTCTTGGAGCACATTCGCCTACCGTCACCCGAGGTTCAGAGGCAGGACCACCAGCTGCCTCAGTACCTTCAGCAACTGCCCCCCTCGCTACGGTCACATCAAATGCAATCATCAGATCCGCGGCTGCAACAACCAGGGGAGACACATGGGGGGATCCAATCGTTCCTGCTCTCTGCCTGCTGGCCGCACCTGCAATTCCTCCTCTCCCTCCCCTCCTCCTCCTCCTCATCTTCCCCTGCTCTCGATCGTGATGCCCTGACCTCTGCGGTGGCTGCTGCTGCCCGCTGCCTTGCTCCACTCGCGACACTCTCAGGTGAGTCACGGCTCGCCCCACGCATCATCACCCACATTTCCACTCACTGCATCCACAATCACTCCATCCCATGCCTTCACCTCTGCTGTGACTGCTGTTGCTCGCTGCCTCGCTCCACTCACCACGCTCTCAGGTGATCTGCACTCTCAGGTGATCTGCACTCTCAGGTGATCTGCACTCTCAGGTGATCTGCACTCTCAGGTGATCTGCACTCTCAGGTGATCTGCACTCTCAGGTGATCCCTCGCCCCTTTTATCACCCTCCGGGTCCAACCGTCCTCCCCTGCATTCACCCTACCCTTACCTCTCTCGAAACCCCTGCATGTCATGTCCCGCCAATCCACCACCTCTTCACCTTCCTCCCTTGTTCAAACCGTGTCCAACTCCTTCCCTTCCCTTCCCCACAACACCCAATCCCACCAGGCCCGTCCATCCTTCGCTGCACCGACCCCAGCCTTACCTCTCTCCAATCCGCCTTCTCTGCTGCCGACCCATCTCCCTCCGTTGCTCACAACATCTCCCTCTCTCCTTCCCTTCCCCACAACACCCCATCCCACCAGGCCCATCCTTTCTCCCCTGCACCAAGTCAGCACTAGCCTCTCTCCAATCCGCCTTCTCTGCCGCCGGCCCACCACCCGCCCCCCTCTCCCTCTCCGCCTGCCCGCCCATCCTCCGAGCCACCGAGACCCTCCTCTCCCTGCAACCGCAACCGCCTGCCACCGCGGATCAGCTCCAGCTCATCACGGCCCGCGCCACGTCAGCTCTGATGTGCTTCGTGTCAGCGCCTGCCAGCGTGGCACTTAAAGCCCCCAAGGGCGCAGAGCAGCATCCGGAGCTCACGGAAGCACTGCTACACTTTGCAACGTTTCTGCTCGGCCTCGTGCCCCCTGCTCACCTGGTGAGCCACCCCCTTCCTTTCCACTCCCCTCACTTCTACTCCCTCCCCTCCTGCTGCTCCCCTCCCACTCCACTCCACTCCACTCCACTCCACTCCACTCCACTCCACTCCACTCTCGCAAGGGGAAGCGCGACCCCGTCCCATTCCTGACTGCAATCTTTTCCTCTTAGCTCCCCGTCCCCATCCTCCTCTCCCCTCCCGTCCCTTCCCCTACCTGCACGAATCAAGACCCTCCTCCCCCGTCGGCGCTCCCACCGCTCTCCCACCTCCGACAAATGGCAGCACAGGGATGCCACTGCCCTTCTCTCTCCGACTGCAATCCGCTCTGCTCTTCCCCTCCCGCCCCTTCCACTGCATGTAGGCGGCAGACCCCTCTTCACCCGTGCTCCCACCGCTCTCCCACCTGCTACAAGTCGCACCTCCTGCCTGCACGGCAGCACACAGGGGAGTGTCTGCCTCCTCCTTCGCCTTCATCTCAGGTGGGTCACTGCAGGCTGCTGCTTCTTCATTCGCCATAGAAAGCACACTTCTGTTTCCCCCTCACCCACGCTGCTACTGTTCCTCGCCCACCTCTTGCGCGGCGATGCACGGCGGGCGGCACACTGGGAGGTCTTCTCCTCCTCCTCCTCTTTCACTTCATCTCAGGTCCGTCACATGCCTTAGCATGTCATCTTAGCATGTCCTCCTTGTCACAATCGCTGTTGCCCTCACCTCCCCCTCCAGTCACTACCACCACACCACCCACGCCTCTCATCACTTTTATTCCAACCCCCCTCCACCCCTCATTACCACTCCGCCTCCCCTCTATCATCCCACACCCCAGCCCTGATGACAGCAGCGATACAGCAGGCTGGGGCTCTCTCGTTACAGTCACAGTCACAACCCCAGGCACAGCAGGGGGTGCCTCCCCTGGTGCAGCTGTGCACGGCACATGGCGCTCTGCTCTCCCACACGCTCGTCGCTGCCCTGCTGGGTCCAAGCGCAGTTTCACGGGTACATCTCCTCTGTGCTCTCACGCTGGCATGTGCGCTATGTGCTCTCGCACTATTCCAGAGTCTTCTAGAAAATTGTCACTGCAGTGTGCGCCTGCTGCAGCAACCCTTCCACATGCGCTGCAGGGTGGGTCAGTTCAGACTAACAGCTCTGTGACTGTTCTTTGCTCCCCACCTCCTCCTTCTCTCCTCTCCTCCTCCACTGCCTGCTCCCCCCACCAAGAGGCATGTACGCCTGCTGCAGCAACTCTTCCACATGCGCTGCAGTGTGGTTCGATTTTTTAGGCGCCTCAGAAATCGCCTCAAAAATCTCAAAAATCTTTTGAGGTGCCTCAAAAACCCACCAGGAGGCATGTGCGCCTGCTGCAGCAACCCTTCCACATGCGCTGCAGTGTGGTTCGGTTCAGACTAACAGCTCTGTGCCGGTTCTCTTCTCCCTGCCTCCTCGTCTCTCCTCTCCACCTCCGCTGCCTGCTTCCCCCACCAGGTGCATAAGTGTGTGAGCCTGCTGCAGCAACCCTTCCACGTGTGCTGCTGTGTTGTTCAAAGGAACCGTTGTCGTAACTCTCCACCTCCTCCCTCTCTCCTCTCCTCCACCCCTCCCCTGCTCCCCACCCTGTCAGATGCACAAGTGTGTGAGCCTGCTGCAGCAACTCCTCCACGTGTGCTGCACTGTGCCTTAGAAGAACGGCTCTCTTTCATCTCCACCTTCTCCCATTCTCCTATCATACCCCCTCCCTTGCTCCACGCCAGGTGCACAAGTGTGTGAGCCCGCTGCAGCAACTCTTCCGCGTGTGCTGCAGTGCGGCTCGAGCAAGCAGTTCCCCTCACGCACAGGGAAGCACACCCGGGTCAGCAGAAGCTGAAGCTGCACCCCTACCATGTGTGCTGCCCAAATCTCTCCTCTCACTACTCCCCACCCTGCCAGGTGCACAAGTGTGTGAGCCTGCTGCAGCAACTCTTCCACGTGTGCTGCTGTGCGGCTCGAGCAAGCGGTTCCTCTCACACGCCAGCGTCAGCAGGAGCTGAAGCTTCAGCGGCAGCAGTGCAGGCAGCACTACCGCCCATGCACCAATGGCTTGTGGCAGCGGTCAGTAGCTGGTTGGCTGGGTGGCTGGGTGGCTGGGTGGCTGGGTGGCTGGTTATGAGTTGCGTGTTATGGGGAGGATGGTGTGTCGATTGTACGTCAAATAGAGCCTGCAGCGGCAGTGCAGGCAGCACTGGGCCCGATGCGTCAATGGCTTGAGGCAGTGGTGGGTACCTGGGTGGCTGGTTCAGGGGCTTAGACAGCTCGTGTTATCTCAAATGAGCCCTCTTGATTGTCCCGAACCAATTATCTTGCTAACCGAGTCAGCTTCTCAAGTCACCTGTAATGCAGTTACTCTCTTTTTTCCCACTCAAATGTCATCCGCTCCTTTACTCGCACTTTCCTTCTGCGCGTGATAAGGTGGTTTTTCTAATCGGCTCAAAAATCGCCCCATCAGCTTTCCAAGTCACCTGGAACACCGTTCCTTTCTCCTTTCCACTAAAATGTCATGCACTCGGTGACTCAAACTCTCCATCCCTCTTCAACCTATGCCCTCAGTTCATCTCTCTCCTTGCCGCCTGCCCCCCTTCACCTGGTCTCCCTTGCCTCAGCCATACTTCCCCCGTACCACCTGGCGACTTTTGAGGCGCCTTCAAAACTCAAAAGTTTCAAGGTGCCTCAAAAATAGTCCTGCCCCCCTTCACCTGGTCTCCCTTGCCTCTACCATATTTCCCCCGTACCACCTGGCGTCTCCAGAGCAGGAAAGGCAGCAACAATCCTCTGTGCCTGCCTCGCATGCCCAATCCCTCATCCATTTCCCGCATTGCCTGTTGTCACACCCTACCTGTTCCCCCGTGGCAGTCTAACAGCTATCCGCCCTGCGACTGGCTTCCCTGCCTGCCTCAAATTCTCAATTTTCTCTCCTTGCCTTGTGCCGCCCTGCTCTTGCTTTTGCTTTGTTGTCTCAGTTTTCCGCCTTGCCACCTGGCTTCCTGAGAGCAGGAGAGGCGGAGGCGGTCCTCCCTGCGTGGCTCACACAGCTTGCCTCGTCTCCTCCACCTCTCGATGGTTCGTCATCCGAGGTTGAGTGGGGCAACACCCGCATGCTGAGACGGCTGCTGCGGAGCTTTGCGGATTCACACAGGCACACAGCCGTTGGTGCTTGATAGTTGGCATGTAAAGTCTTAGTGACTTCTGTTCTGCGTAAGTCTCCGATGAATCTTTATGCGGTGCTGGCACCTGAGTCACTGTAGAATGAAATCTGGTGGTGGGTGAAGCAGCACTGCAGCGACTAAGTGAATTACCGTTTGCTCCGTTTTCAAGAGCACCAGCACAGAAGGAGCACTAAAGTGCCAACAAGATGAAAGGCAGAGGATGTGTCCTTAGAACATGCAACAACTCGAAGATGAGGCCTCAACCAGGACGTGTGTTGATCAGGCCAATTCAGTAAAAGAGGGGTGAAGCCACTGGACAACTCTGTTTTTGTCGCAAGTTAAGATAATGTGTGCAGAAAGTTACTTAAATACACTAACCCATTCTTGCGATCCAGGGCGAATTATCGAAAAACATGGTCGTGTGCTGGTCAGCCAAGTCGCGGAAAGCGTCAGATGCGGCACCCCTGTTACGTGCCAGTGGCATCAGCCAGTCACACGAGAAAATGGAACTGTTGCGCGAACCAGATCCAGGGTTCGTGCAACGCGCTCCCGGTTAGCGTGGCACCTGCTGCGGGAGCATCGCCACGTGGAAAATCTCCCTCTCCGAGCCGCTCCACATTCCTGGGCCATTGGCTCTCTAGGGGCGCAGTCCCGAGCCGCAATGTTGTGGGGGGGTGAGCATGGTCAAACACGGCAACGCGGACATTTGTTTCGATTCGACTCTCATTGCCTGCGCCCCCTCCCCCCTCTCCCAACCGATGTGCCCCATCCACACGTTGCATTCACCAACATTTTTTGCATGTGCGCTTGCTGGGTACTGGAATGTTGATCCAATGCGGTTAATTAGAGTTTCTGATAGGTTGGGCCAGGTTCGCTAGAATTCTCGTTGTATTCTCGTTCTACCCTAGCCCTCCCCAGGTTCCAAGTTGTTCCGTTACACTGAAGCCTTCAATTGGAGCACACTAACCTCCCGAGCAAGTTGCTGCTAGCTGGTCTACCACTGGCTGCCTTTCACCCTTTTCCAGCCGTGCTGGAGCAGAACAGTTCGCTTCGCGCTTGCCTTCGCAGCACAGTGCACAAATCGCCACACCATAGTTGGTCGTAGGTGGTGAAGCGACGTAGCTCGACGAACGACCTAACTCTGTTCAAAGCTCCTAGCTCGAGAGTTTTATCAGGCGAGGTCCGTTGTAGAAGTCGTATGTTGCTCGCGTAGCATCTCACATCCTGTTCTCATTATCTGTTCTCATTATCCTGTAGTCGAGTGTACCGTGTAACCAATACAGCCTATTATACTTAACTGATGGAACGTCACTCGCATCGCAGCCCTCACGGGCTGCGTCTCCTCCATTCCCTCGATTCTTTCTCCTGATACGTTCACCTGCTCTAGTCGCCATTAAAGTCATAGAGAATCGCATTCTAGTGTGTGCACGCATCCGTTTGCGTCTTAGACTCTGTTAAAGCACCCGGGGAGTAGAAATGGGGGCGGCTGCATCGACAGAGCTGGCAGATGCGATCGGCGCCGCGCCGGGAGGAATGGGCGCTTCGCATGCTTCGAGGAAGGGCGGAAATGCGCGGGCTTCCGCGAAGGTGCAACCCGTCTGGGACGAGGGGGAGGACGAAGCGATAGAGAGGAAAGCGCGGCAGCTGGAACAGCTCAAGGACCGCGTGAACGCAGGTAGGAGGACGCAGGTACGTCGCGTGAGCGCATTTTTGAGTCGACTACAAAACCGGAAAGTGCGATAGCTGGAACAGCTCAAGGACCGCGTGAACGCAGGTGAGGGAGCGCAGGTGAGGGGGCGCAGGTGAGGGAGCGCAGGTGAGGGGGCGCAGGTGAGGGAGCGCAGGTGAGGGGGCGCAGGTGAGGGCACGCAGTACGGCGCGTGTACACAGGTGCTGCGCGCTGACATGCGCTTCCGCACGGAGTTTGCAGCTCAAGAACCGCGTGAATGCAGGTGAGGGGACGCAGGTGCGGCGTGGTGATGTGGGTTCTTTGGTTGGGACGCAGGTGCGGCGCCGTGGGTAAGGCGAGTGAACGCAGGTAAGACGCGTTGATGCGCGCTTTAATTGCTGAAACTGGACAGCTGAGTCGCCCCGTTCCACCAGTGAATCATATGCGCAAAATGGGCGCCCGCGACTCCCCGAACTGTAAGCCCTCGATTGCATCTGGTAGACCATAGCGCGCATTATAGCCCCTGAGGACTAACGCCTCTACTAGTTGAGGGAGGCGGTTTGTTGAGGTCGAGGAAATAGGTCACACTACCCTCGCCCCTTTTCCCTCTCTCTCCCCACCATCACCACCCCCTTCCTCTCCCATCCCGTTCCCCCCCCCCCCCCCCCCCCCCCCCCCCCCCCCCCACCCTCCTTAACGCCGCCTTTCGGCGGCCAGCCATTGCTTCTGGTAGTCGTGTCAAGCAGCTATTGGAGGACGAGGTGCGGCGCGATCTGGGGCTGTCGGCGATTCGTCTGCGGTTCACCGCGAACGGCGCGCTGGAGCACTGCAGCTTGTTTTCGGAGGCCGGCGGCCGGCACAGCTGCAACCAGGACTCCATGATCGCATGGGAGGTGCGCCACCCGTAGCTATGAAGTTTCCGTTTACATTGAGAATCAGAATCTGTACCCGCTTTTAGCATAGCGCGGTCACCGAGTAATGATCTCGTATCCCCCAGCCTCCCTCCACCTTCCGCTCCCTCGAACCCTTCCGCTCTGCTTCCAAACCCCCAACCCCCGCCTTCGTTGTTTCTCTCGCTCACACTGCGCTATTTTTTCCTTATCTCTGATTCTGCTTCTCACCAGGATTTTAACGTCCCAGAAATCGCGGGTCGCGTGAAAGGCCGCATGCCTCCTGGCGCTGCGTCTGACGTCATTTTCTGCGCCGTATTCGACGGTCATGGGCCCAACGGCCACCTCGTTTCGCAGCGCGTGCGCGACTCGCTCCCGAGCCGCATTGCGTCGCTTCTCGCGCCGCCTCCGGTAGCAACCGTGTCGCCATATGGCCACCTCGACAAGTGCGCGCCGCCGATGGCGCCTGCAAGCGACCAGCTCTTGCAGCGGCTCGGAGTTAATGGAGGCAGCAGCAAGAGCAAAGGCGCTTCGGGAAAAGTCCACCCGCTGGGAGTAGCCCCGGCCTATGGCGGCGATGGCGGGATGACGTTGCAGCGGTCGCGATCCGCCAATTCTCTAGAAAATTCCGCGCCTCGGGGTTCCGTTTCCCCCTATCACTCGTCCTCGTCGTCAGCATCCTCTGCAGCGGCAGCGGCGGCGGCAGCGGCGGCCGAGGCGTCGAGGGAGGCGTCGAAGGCGCAGGTGGAGCGCGCGTTTCGGCGCGCGTTTCTGGAGATGGACGACGAGCTGCGCAGCCACCCGCACGTGGACGGCCACGTCAGCGGCAGCACAGCCGTTGTCGCTGCCCTGCTGGTATGTCTCCTGTTTGTTCCCGGCTCAGTTTACGTGCACCCTGTAGTGACTTGAGCCAACGCCAAAGCGGCAGCGCTGGCGTCGTCATCGGACGGTCGCAAGTGCCTGTTTGTGTTATCGGTTTCGTTAGGATTGTTTTTTTCCCAAGGTCGTTTATTGAGAATTCATAAAATGAACAACCCACTGGGGTCATCGTCGGTCTCAGCCACGGACGGGACGTTATAAAAAACCATCAAAAGTGATCTAAATATGGACGGGAGGCCCAGTTGTAGTTTCCCCTACACCACCCCCCCGACCGGGGTCAACTTGGATCGGAACCCAATGTACAGTAGACTGGTATAATCTCGGTCGTTGCTGATAGTGCTGCGGTGGAAAAGTCACAAGCTTGCGGCAGTCGTCTTGCGTTTTTTTTGAGACGCCTCAAAACCCGCCCGCAAGCCTGCCCTCACCCACCCTCCTCCCGCCTGCCCCACCGCCTTGTGTTCGCTTGAAATCAGGGCCGTCGATTGGTGGTGGCGAGCATTGGGGATTCACGCGCAGTATTGGCGTATCGTTGCAAGGCGGGCCACGCCGTTACCGGGACGGCTGCCCCCATTGGCGGCATGCAGTGCAAACCTCTCACCAACGACCACAAGTGCAGCGTCGCAAGTGAGTGGACGGGGATAGGAAAACAATTGGGTGGAACAAGGTATGGAGGGAGATGGTCAGCATTGGAAAATGGGAATAGTGGGGCGGGAGGGTGAGAGGTTCTTGCAGAGGTTTGGCTGTTGCCGGGTCATGGTTCTTGCAGTTGGCGTACCGTGTCGCGTGGGGTCGTCGCTGCGCGCTTCAGATGTGTTGAATCTCGTACCGCGATTACTTGTTTCAAATTTCACAGCCGTATTGTAACCGAGATTCGCCATCCTCTTTCGCCTCCTTTTGCCAACGGCAGCCGAGCGAAAGCGAATTGAGCAAGCTGGAGGGCGGGTCCAGGCGTCAGAACATGAGCCAGGGACCCCACGAATCTGGTTACCGCGGGAGCGAAGCCCTGGTTTGGTGCCGTCGCGAGCGTTCGGCGACTTCGTGGTGAAGGATTATGGGGTGATCGCCGAACCTGATATCCTGATTCGGCACCTCACTTTGGAAGACGAGTTCATTATCCTCGCTTCAGACGGGGTGAGTCTTATTATGGTGCTGGTTTAGCCTGATCTGCAGTTAGATTTCCCATACACAAATGCCTCTGTACAACATTTGCTCGTTCTCTTCTATAGGTACTACATCGACCATTTTTCTCATTGTTGCCACGCCGGTCCTTCCCTTGTGGTGTCCCGTGGTCGCTTTGCCTTATCTCCGTGCTACCTTAATTTTGTGATTTTGTGCCTCCATGCTGATAATCAATATAACCAACTTCCCTTTCTTTCATTCCTCCTCTCCCCCCCTTCCCCTTTCCAGCTTTGGGATGTCATGACCCCTCAAGAAGCCATGTCAGCGGTGCTAGCCGCCCCAACCCGTCAGACTGCCGCGCGGCATCTCATTGCTCAGGCTCGCAGCATCTGGGCGGCAAAGCACCAGTCAGTCAGGCCAGACGACTGCACGGCAGTCGTCCTCTTCCTCCCAGAGTTCGCCCCTTCAGGCCTCCTCTCTGGCTCTTCCCTGCCACACTCCGGCCCTCTCTCTTCCACCCCTTTCTCTGGCCCTCTCTCTTCCACTCCCTACTCTGGTCCCTTGTCTTCCATCCCTCATTCTGCTCCCCTCTCTAGCTTCCCTTCCTCCGGCCCCCAAGGCTACTCTCTGCTTCCGCAGCAGCAGCAGCATTGGCAGCAGAAACCTAATCAGCAGCAGCAGGTGCAGCTGCCGCCGCGGCAGTTCCTCTCCCAGCTGCCCATGCCTCTCCCTAACCTAACCTCCAGCGACATCAAGCATGTCGCTCCCGCACCTGGCTCACAGCGTCGGTTCTCAGACCATAGAGGCCCTGGAGTAGCCTCGGTGGGATCAGGTTCGGAGAACACGTGGGAGGGGGGAGCGGGAGATGGGAGTGGAGGAGGGAGGAGGAAGAAGAGCAGCAGGAGGAAGGGAGGGCGGAGGGAAGCTGGGCCCATGTCCCTTATGGGTGCGGTGGAGGAAGGCAACGAGGAAGCGTTTGACGATACGGCGAGCATAGCTAGTATGGGAACTGTGTGCACGGAGGCATCGTTTGGTACGGTGATCTACTCAGAAACAGATTACAAGCTGACCCGTACGGAAGCAGATTACAAGCCGAGCCGAGTGGCAGCAGCAGAGGAGACCAATCCTCCTGTGGTGCTCACCCCTCCTGTGTGTGAGGATGGGTTTTATCGTGATGACACAATCCGGGTGCCTGTAGAGAGGCAGGTGGAGAGGCAGGCAGAGGGCGGGGAGAAGGAGAACATGGGGAACGGAGATGGAGGGAGATCAGTGTTGGGAAGCATGGGCCAGGGCATGAGCAGCCAGGATAGCAGCAGCAGCAGCGCCAGCGGCAGTGTTGGTTTCAGCAATAATGATAGCAAGAAGCAAGGCGTCAATGCGGAGGGGAGGCGAAGCATTCTCGGGCTGTTTTACAATGGTGAAGTTGCTGCCTCTGCCTCTGCATATGCATCTCTTGGTAGCTCCAAGGTGGTGCCACTGCCACTTGACGACCACACCAAGCATGCGCCTGAAAACCCTCCTGGAAACCCGACTGAGAAAGCACCTGGGAATCCACCTGTCACCATCACCATCTGCTCTGCTGATGGTACACTCCTGACGGCTGCTGATGCTCGAGTCATGGCTCCCCCCATGCGCTCTCGCAGTCTAACTGCCCTGTCTGCCTGCATGGGTGGCGGCATGGCTGGCATGGGCGGCACCGACAGCATGGCCGGCACGGGCGGCACCGGAACGGCATGTATGGGTGTCTCCTTGAGGGAAGGTCTGGGAAGCGAGACCAGCAGCAGTTGCGCCGGCGGGAATGGCTATGGCTGCACTAACACGAGGGCAGCGGATCGCTACGTGAGTCTGGAGAGGGGGGTTGCTGTAGAGGCAGGGGACGGAGCAGAGGACGAGGTGGGGAGTAAATGGGGTGGTAAGTGGGGGAGCGCATGGGAGAGCAGCGGAGCGGGGTGTGGTGCGGCTATGCAGTATGCAGTGGCACGGCTGGGTTTGGACATATTGTGGCACAAATGCTGGCGCACAGAGCCATGACCGGCCTGCCCTGTCTTGAATTCCCTGCTCCGATTCTCCGTCCCTTTCTTCCTCCTACCCTATCCTTCGTGTCTAATGTGACCCTCCCTGCCCATATGAGCATCGCTCTGCCAATTGCCTTCATTTTGGCATGAACCTACTTATGAGAGGGCTTAGGCACATCAAAACACTACTAATAAACTATTGTTGCACTTGTTTATTGAGCGGCTTTTGTGGTTGGTTCAATTCAATCAATGCAATCGGCATATGGATAAAATTTATGGCCAAAAGTGAACTCGTTCAATAACTAGGCTTTGTACTAACGCCTCTGCTTAGCCCATATGTATGTGTACACCTGCTCCAAAACCTATGATAATCAACCACGGTTGGCAGGAAACTTGCAACATTTTCCCAACTTTGCTAGAGTTTCAAATCTCGGCCCAAATATGAGCTTCTATGTGAAGTTATATATCTGTTCTAGTAAAGTTGTTGAACTTCGGGTGTGCCTGTAACGCGCGTGCTGGTTCTAGCGAAAGTCAATCACTTGGGCTGTTACGGTGGTACGTGTATCACACCCGCATCTTGTGGACAGGCTGGAGCTCACATCACACCACACTGTCGACGAGTCGAATCGATTTCTGGCCGTGCCTGGTGCGCGTAACCTTTTCCACGGTGTCAGCAAAGATGCGGTCGGTGTTGATCCGACTTCACGCCTGATATCTTTTTCCTTGTTTGCTGAGCAACCTGATGCTGGGAAGCAGCATTTAGATCGTTCGGTGTTGCCCGCAATCCACCAGACAAAAAATATTTTTGATCGCGTAATTGACGTTTACGAGGGCATTCGAGTAACGTTCCTCACTGGTTGGGGATTGTATTCTGTACCCTACGAAGGCGGGGGCTCTTTTGAACGTTTGTTGTCAACGCTACTTTGGTGTAGTGCATTTATGATGCCAGTAACTAACCATCATAGATGTGTGGTCAGCACCTGGCTGGTGCGGTCGAAGATCCGTTTCGGCTTCCTGATGAAACCGAAACGGATTGCATTCCGCACTTGAGAGGTGCATATGCAGCCATGTCACGCGGTTCGTAACACGCGGTTCGAGGCTCTCCACGGAAACGCTTGTTCTGGATCGCCTTGCACCTCCCTCATGCAAGACGTCATTGCTTCCTCCCAGGCCAGACTGTCGATGACCTGGAATCGGATCGGTCATCGATAGGATGTGGTCATAATCCGGCAGCCAGACCGCCTCGGATTTCAAAAGCGCCAGGTGTTGACATGGACAAGGATTTCGGAAAACCGGCAGGGAAGGATCGAGTTCGCGGCTGTGAGGAATCAGGCGAACCAGGGAACGGACAAGGGAAGTTGTACACCCTCATTCGCGCTAGAAGAACATCTGGTTGTGGAATCTCAGCCCGTTGTAGAGCTTCACCACGTTCAGATTGGTGCTATCACACACGATAGAAGAACATTTTGTCGCGATAATGATGACAGGGTGTAGAGCGTTCACGTGACAAATTTGTCACCAGGCAGCTGGTTTATGCTTGCCAAACTGTCTCGATTTCCCAAGGTCAGAGGAATTCGGGTTTTTAGTTATTGCGGAAGGGGTACTTCCGAACCTGCGCTTTCTAGGGAGCTTCATCTCTACCTGCACAGAGTTTCCCAGGTTTCGACGCCCAGACAGAAGACTTATTGCGCTGGGACAGAACTCGGCTCCACGTTTACCCACGTGTCATCATCTCGTAAGGCCTTAGCTGCTACTAGTCAGGCAAACGATGCACAACAGAATTTGTTTTTTTTTTCCCCTCTAATTCGCACTAAACTAAATCCTTCTCGGCTGGCAAGTGATAGGGGGCATCAACCCTAAACACTGCGACTAAGTGTTTAGGGTTGATGCCAAAAATAATCCCTCTTGGTTGGCATGTAAATAAAGGGCATCAATCCTAAACACCTAATCGCGTGGAGTTTAGGGTTGATGCCCTCGAAAACTTGCCACCCGAGAGGGGTTTAGTTTTGTGCTTGCTGGCAGAAGACACCCGATGAAAACAGTGCTTGCGTGACGTGCGGAGAAGCCGAGTTCTGTGTTAGCACAATAACTCTTCCGCCTCAGAAGCGGATCAGCGGAAAGTGTGCGCAAGCTGAGATGAAAGTCCCTTGAAAGAAGGACAGCTACAGTAAGCCTTCCGGGGAAACTAAAAACCCGAGGAATTTTCTGGCACGAGTGATCAGATTTGTGACGGTGGCATATGATTGGTGGAATTAGCAGAACAGCTGTCGTATGCACTGTTCCGTTTCTGCTTGAACTTGACCAGCTTGTGGCTGGTTTGTCTCTAGGTACGGTTTTGCCTGCGAAATCAGTTATAATCACAGCCACGCTAGCTTCCAGAACTGTAGCTACGAATCGCGCAAGGTGAAAAGGTTGAGAAAGAGGGTGTACACTGGGACAATGTGTACAAGTCGGTTTGCTGGGCTCAGGTCAGGAGGGCTTGGGGCTGGGGACCTCTGGGATGGTGATTTGTCCCTCTGGGAGGCAGTTGGTGGCGCGTGGTTTGGATTCGAATGAGGTGCGAGGAAAAAGATTTGCATGGAAAATGCGCGTGGGCGCAGAGCCCGGAGGAGTTGCACCACTGCTGCGCTGCGATGCCTTGATCAAGTGCGATCGGGGGACTGAGGGGCAGAGGCAGGGGCTGGCTGGGTTGGGGCGGGGGCAGGAATGATGGAAAAAACTGGCCTTGCGCACCAGCTCGCGCAATGGCGGAGACAACAGGGGTCTCCCGTGACCCGTCAGCAGCTCAAGGAGCGGGTGATGAAGCAGAAAAAGCAACCAAGGAAGCAAGCAAACCACCAACAGATAAAACCATAGCCATTCTCACATTCTGGCAACATAAGATTTCCACATTTTATCAGCCAGCCTTTCACTATCCAGCTCTATCAGAACGTCCTTCACCGTCTGCATCTAATTAACGAGTGAACCAGTCTACAGACTCCCTCGGGCAGTTTGTTGTACCTCTAAGTCTTTATAAATCAATTACAATGGATCACACAGGAACAGCCGCGGCGATCTCCTCGCCTTGGGACGCAGATATCGACAGCCAATGGGAGCGTTACACGTCTCTCTACCCCTCCACTCGCGCCGCAAACCTTTACGCCGGCGGCAACGACGCGAGAGACGCCGACGACTACGATTCGGACTCGGACCGTTATTATACCTCGCGATTCTCGTTAGATTCCAATTCCTCGGACGGGAGTCGCGTCAGCAGCAGCGGCGCGTCGTGCTGGGAAGCGGAACTCGCCTGCGACCCGGTGTGGGTTGACGACGCTCGTTCGCGAATTCGCAACGCGGCTCTCGCCGTCGTCGAGACGCAGCAGGCCGTCGCAGCGGCCAACTGGATGAACCGAACCTTCGAGGACTTTTCGCACGACTGCCCGGCGGAAGCTGATGCATTTTGCGGCTGCCCGCCGGCCGCGCAGCCGTGCCAGCACGACGAGCTCGCCGCGTCGTACCGCGCGAAATACGAGCCGGTTAAAACCAGCAAAGCGCGCCGCGCCTCGTTCGGTTCGTCTGCCGCTGAGTCGAACCGCAGCCACGCGAAGAAGGGATTCTTCGGGAAGACGAGCAAGCACAGCAGCGCCGACGAAGCTTCGGAAAAGGCTTCTGGTTCCAGCAGCGTGGCAAAGGCGAAGAGCTCTTGCAAAGGCATTGCTTCGTTCATCGCTGGATGGATGTAACGGTTATAATCTAGCAGTTGATCATCACCTCTACGGTTTTTAGACGAGGAGGAACGGCGACAGGTTACGGACGCGCTAGGCGCGTCCCGTGTTTCTGCCTCGTTTCATCAAAGCGAAGGCGTGCTGCCATGGTGCCCGCACATTGCGGGTGCATCTTTTGTATCTATTCGAATAGTGATTTATCCAGTTTTTGAAGGATATTTTTACTAAGGTTTCTTGGGTAAAGAAGATAATGGAAATTGAGCCAATCATCACAAGCCTTTTCAGAATATATCAATGTTTGTGTGGCGCAGAAGGAAAAACTTGATCTTGCATGATTGCATACACTATGGTTCACCACTAAGAGTGCACCAGCTGAACAAGAATGCGAGCTGAAAATTGCTTACAAACGACATTTTCCCGATCCATCAGCAGAACATGAAGGTGTGGTTGGGGGATTGCAGCATCCTGGTGCTTCTAGAAGATCCCACAATCCTTGCCAGCTGCAACCATTGGATACGATTCCCCAATCCGACAAGACACGTACACACACACACACACACACACACACACACACACACACACACACACACACACACACACACACACACACACACACCACACACACACACACACACACACACACACACACACACACACACACACACACACACACACACACACACACACACACACACACACACACACACACACACACACACACACACACACACACACACAACACACACACACCACACACACACACACACACACACACACACACACACACACACACACACACACACACACACACACACACACACACACACACACAACACACACACACACCACACACACACACACACACACACACACACACACACACACACACACACACACACACACACACACACACACACACACACACACACACACACACACACACACCACACACACACACACACACACACACACACACACACACACACACACACACACACACATCCCACAGACAGATCGAGCAATGGAAGGAGGATAAACGGCTGTCATGAGGATGAGACTTATTCAAGGTCAGTGAGCAGCAGGAGATAAGAGCTAATGGGCAGCAGCAAACAACTGCAAGTGGCCGGCGGGCAGGGAGCAGAGAGTAAAAGGCCATGGCGTGGAGGCAGGAGTGTGCGAGTGTGCGGGGGAAGGAGTGATGAGACTGACTTCCAGGTTTTTAGAGTGAGAAAGTGTGTGGGTGTGCATGAGGGAGCACAGAGAAGGGGCTGTCCTCGAGGTTATTCGAGTGTGAGGGAGTGTGTGGGTGTGCATGAGAGGGGGGTGCGAATCACGGGCTGACCTCGAGGTTATCAAAGCGAGTGAAGATGGCGGAGCAGGATGCGTTGTCCACCCCTTCCAGTAGGTTGAGGATCTGCGATGAGGGGTTGAGGGGAAGACACGTGGGGCTTTAAGAGGCCTACATCAGCCGGGGTTGTCCACTCCTTCCAGTAGGTTGAGGATCTGCGGAGAGAGAGAGGTTTGGGGGAAGCAAAGAGGGGCTTTAAGGGGCATTTATCAGCCTCGTTTGCGCACCCTTTCCAGGAAGTTGGGGATCCGAGACGAGGGGTTCAGTGAGAGACACGTGGGAGGGGGGTAGGTAGGGGAAGGCATGGGCAAGGCAAGAGAGGGGCATTACGGCAGCTACATCAACCGTGTTGTTTCACCCCACAGGTCAAACAACACGGTTGATGTAGCTGCCGTAATGCCCCTCTCACCTCTGCATACACGCACACACGCACCTCTGCATAGAAATGCGGGTAGCATGGCAGCGAGTAGAATACGACTTCCCTAATGCCCCGGATCTGGTAAGCGGGCGATGGAGGGGAGGAAATGACAGAGATGGAAATGGCAGGCAGGGAGGGAGACGGCAGGGGAGGGGGAAAACATTTGAGGCGGCGCCTCAAGAAACGAGTGCACGGCAGCGAGTCGAGTATGACTTCCCGAATGCCCCGAGATTTGTGGGCAGGGCGGCAGTGGGGAGGGGGGTGGTAGGGAGGGAGACCGCAGACAGGGAGGGAAAATGGCAGGTTAGGAAACAGTAAGGGGAGGTAGAACCCGGAAATACAAACAGCAGCACTAGCGGTAACCATAACATTTAACAGGCCATAGTAATCCCAGCAGCCAACGTTAACCCGAACAGCTAGCAGTAACCCTAACAGCCAGCAGTAACCCTAACAGCCAGAAGTAACCCAAACAGCCAGGAGTAACCCTAACCAGCCAGTAGTAACCCTAACAGCCAGTAGTAACCCTAACAGCCATCAGTAGCCCTAACAACCAGCAGCAAAACTCTAAACTCTAAACCTTGAACCCTACACCTGAACATCCAGCAGTGGGGAGTGTGATCCGCCTGAATGAACCAATGAGAAGCATCCAGCTTTAAGTGCAAAGGTAGGACATCAAGTGGCGAGGGTACCCGACAGCCGGGGGTATTGTGGTGAGAGCGGTGAAAGCGGTGAGAGCGTGAGAGCAAGTGAGTGGGTACCCTACCCGGTAGCGGTGGTAGCAGTGCGATCGCTCCGAGTACAGCATGATGTGTTTTAAGATGCCTTGAAACAGCAAGTGAGTGAGTGAGCGAGTGAGTGAGTGAGTGAGTGAGTGAGTGGCGTACCCGGTAGCGGTGGTAGAAGTGCGATCGCTCCGAGTAGAGCATGATGTGCTTTAAGACGCCTTGAAACAGCAAGTGAGTGAGTGAGTGAGTGAGTGAGTGGCGTACCCGGTAGCGGTGGTAGAAGTGCGATCGCTCCGAGTAGAGCATGATGCGCCGCCGGTTCTGGAAGAACCACGCCCTCGCCCGGTGCACGTTGCGCTCGTCCGTGTACCTGGTGGGGGAAGGGGCGGGGGCAGGAGGAGGAAGGAGAAGGGGGAAGGGGGGAAAGGGGAATAGGGTGGGTGGGATTGGGAGGGGATTGAGCGGCAAGGCAAGGCGGAGCTTAGTGCCCGATCCATCGGACGAGCACATCGGAAGAACAATGGCCGTCGCCCGATGCACATGGCGCTCGTACGTGTACCTGGAGGGGGGCGATGGGACGAAGAGAGGGTTGAGGGCAGACGAGGGGAAGGGAGGAGGGAGTGAGAGAGAGAGGGGGGGCAGGTGGATGTGGCTGTGGGCGGAAGTGGAAGAGAGGCGGCATAAACTTCTGGACGGCGATGGGGAAAGGAAGGGTTGCAAGGGAGGATTGCAAGGGAGGATTGCAAGGGAGGATTACAAGGGAGGATTGCAAGGGAGGATTGGAAAGGAGGATTGCAAGGGAGGATTGCAAGGGAGGATTGTCAAAACAGCAGGCAGAAACTAGAAACAAGAAAGAGGGGTTTTCACTAGCAAGCAGTTGAGTACATATAGCAAACCCTAATTCGGGCTGTACTCGCTATAGAGTACCCCACTGCAGGCTAGACAAACATCACATTCTGACACACCCCCATAGTCAAAGTGGGGTACAATCAACACAACAAGCAGGCAGAGCAGTAGTTCACAATGATAAGCAAAGCTAGAGACTATCACAGAGGGCAAGTGAGGAGGAGGAGAAACTGTGGAGGCGAGAAGATGGGAGGCGACGGCTGAAGCTGCAGACACACGGGCAACAGGAGTGCGGAGCACTATCGCTACCAGGCTATACCCGGACTACACGGCGACAGGCACAGCTGGCTCTATGTGCTCCCAGGAGTGCTCACACTGTGGCTACCAGGCTATACCTGGACTACACGGCCACAGACTTAGCTGGCTCTCTGGACTACCAGGAGTGCTCACACCGTGGCTACCAGGCTATCAAGGAAGGGTTGCAAGGGAGGGTTGCAAGGGAGGATTGCAAGGGAGGATTGCAAGGGAGGATTGCAAGGGAGGATTGCAAGGGAGGATTGCACGATCGAGGAGAGGAGGAGTAGGAGAGGGAATAAGAGGGGCAGGGTCAAAAAGTGCGGAATAAAGGAGGCGCCTCAAAAGAGGGGCGTACTACTCACTCAGAGAGGAGGCAGAAGGAGAGGTTCTCCTGCTTGAAGAAGTTTCTGAGGCGCACAAACTCAAAGTAGGACTGCGTGTATACCAGCACGCCTCCCTGGTGAAGAGTAAGCGGGAGGTGGGTTGGGGAAGGAGAGTGAAGGAAAGAGTATGGGGAAGGGTTGGAGTGGATCATTCAGAGATAAAACATGGAATGTGACAACTTTTAAAAAATAAAAAGGCATTTACTAATTTGTATCAGTTTTCTCATCACGACACATGTTCTCATCACAACACACATGAGGCATACTGTGAACATGGCGACACCCCTGATCGTGTTGGGATGATAAATAATCAAACAAACAATATTTGGGAGGCGGCTGTCACCTGCATTGACTGAGGGCGTATCTCAGTTCTGGTCATAGGAGCCCACTTCGGTTCATGGGAGCACTTTGGGTCATAGGAGGACCAATGGTATTCCAGTAGTGTAGCTAGAACGCGCCCTATTGGTCGTCCAAGAATCTCGGATGACCCAAACAGTGCCCATGACCCGAACTGAGATACGCCCTGAGTCCCGAAGGCGCGGGAAGATGGTGGAGACGAAGAAGAACTGGAAGTGGGCTTAATGCTGTTGCTGTGATGGCCGTACCTCTCAATGGCACAGCGGAGCTCACATGAACGGGTCCTAGACGCACCTCAAAGCCGAAACTAGTTCATCCCTGGTTTTAATCAAAACCTTCTGTTCATCCCCTTTTGCTCGAGCTTTAAAGAACCGCTGCCTCGCAAGCAACGCACTCAAGATGGTTAACCCTCTCAATGGCACAGCGGAGCTCACGTGAACGGGTCCTAGACGCACCTCAAAAGCTGACACCTCAAGGCACCTCAAGGAGCTCACACAGAAGCTGACAGCTCAAGGCACAGGGCGGAGGGTCACCTGGACGGAGTCGCGGAGGCGCGGGAAGATGGTGGAGACGAAGAACTGGAAGCGCGCCTCTGCTGCTGCTGTGATGGCCGTGCCTCTTAAAAGCAGAGGGGGGCCTCACCTGGGTGGAACTTTAGAGAATTCTTTGAGTTGACTCAACAGCTGCCTTTGCTTTTCTAGGAGGGCTCAGGAGGAGGGCTCACCTGAACGGAGTCGCGGAGGCGCGGGAAGATGGTGGAGAGGAAGAACTGGAAGCGCGCCTCTGCTGCTGCTGTGATGGCGCTGCAGTCAACGCGGTCAAACACCTGCTGCACCTGCGGCACCACCAGGGCCAGCACTCCTACGTACTCTGACCGAAGCTTCGCCTGATGATGGGAGGGGGACGGGGATGTGTGTGTGTGAATCGGCTTTGCAGTCAACGCGGTCAAACAAACACCACCAGCGCCAGTACCCCTGTGTACAAGGATCGTTGCTTCACGTGATGGGGGAAGGAAGAAGAGGGAGGGGAAAGAATACATGTGTGCGGTCAACGCGGTCAACGCGGTCTACGCGGTCAAACACCTGCTGCACCAGCGCCAGCACGCCCCGTGTACTCTGACCGCAAGACCCGATGGGGCGACGGGGAGGGACAAGTGATGACAGTGCAGTCAATGCAGTCAACGCATTCAACGCGGACAAACACCTGCTGCACCTGCGGCACCATCAGCGCCAGCACCCCTGCATATTCTAATCGTAGCTTCAGCTGTTTGCTGAGGGTATGGCTTACCGTACATGCACTGGTTAGGGTTACATTACAGTGCGGGAATGCACTTACTTTGCCGGAGAAGTTGGAGCAGGATCGGTGAAAGAGAGCGTTGATGGCTGCACAAGGGAAGCACGGGAGCCGAGTCGGAGCACAGCAACAAAAAGGAATACAGCAACGGAAAAAGAGGGAGTCTTATCTGGGGGATGACTTTTGATTTGAATAAAGAGTAGGTGAGAAAATGCCTAAGGAGATAGGTGAAGTGAAACGAGGAAATCTGTGTCCAACAGGAGAAGCCCCACATGGGACACTTGGTGACCCACATGGGACACTTGGTGACCCACATGGGACACTTGGTGACCCACATGGGACACTTGGTGACCCACATGGGTCACTTGGTGACCCACATGGGACACTTGGTGACCCACATGGGACACTTGGTGACCCACATGGGACACTTGGTGACCCACATGGAAGGACACGGGTGATTATCTGCCATGTCTTTCCACCGCCTACTGAAATCTGAGTCGGCCCCAGGACCGCTCACAGGGGTGGGTCATTCAAGGCGCTCACAGGGGTGGGAGAAGGCGGAGAGAACAATGGACTGCCTGTAGTGTGCCGCCCAGCCGTTCAGATACCTGGGGGATGAGATGGACCATGGGGGGATGGGTGATGAGGATACAGGGGATAAGAAACTCCAGCGCACGCACGCGGATTATGCACTCAAGTTGCGCACAGACCACCTCTCTTCCTACACCCTCCCCTCTACCCCCTTACTCGTTCGCAACTCCACCGCACTCTTCTTCACCGTTCACCACTCCCGCACGCGTATGGCGTCAGTGCGGTGCTGCCGCACTGCACTGGCAGCTGGTTTAGCCCATCTCCTGCACGCGTATCGCGTATAGGAAGAGAGATGTTCACACGCGTGCGGGAGATGTTCTCTCTTCATCTCTTCTTACACGCGTGCGCGTGCGGGAGATGTTCTCTCTTCATCTCTTCTTACACGCGTGCGGGAGGGCACCGAACATCTCTCTTTCTACCCCTTCCCCTTCCCCTTCCCCTTCCCCTTCCCCTTCCCCTTCACTTCCACAACTAATTCTGATTGCCCATCTCCCGCCACCCCCTTCACCACTCGCGCACGCGCAGGAAGTCAGTGCTGTGCTGCTTCACCGGCAGCTTGTTCAGCTGCACAAAAAGAATCCTTTCCTCTTCTTACACCGTCACCTCGTCGCACTCAACCCCCCACCCACCCACCCCCCTGTCCCCCCCCCCCCCCCCCCTCACTCACCACTCGCGCACGCGCATGAAGTCAGTGCCATGCTGCTTCACCGGCAGCTTGTTCAGCTGCGCAAACACCGCCTCCACGTGCGCCCAGTTCTGCACCCGCCGATTGGGAAGGGCAGGGGTTTCCACATGAGATTATCCACCGTAATAACTCGAGAAAAATGCTATCAGTACAGTACAGTACAGTACAGTACAGCAAGGATGCAGAGGATGTGCTCGTGATAGCTTTTGAGACGTCTCAAAAGATGCAGAGGATGTGCTCGTGATAGCTTTTGAGACGTCTCAAAAGATGCAGAGGATGTGCTCGTGATAGCTTTTGAGACGTCTCAAAAGATGCAGAGGATGTGGTCGTGATAGCTTTTGAGACGTCTCAAAAGATGCAGAGGATGTGCTCGTGATAGCTTTTGAGACGTCTCAAAAGATGCAGAGGATGTGCTCGTGATAGCTTTTGAGACGTCTCAAAAGATGCAAAGGATGTGCTCGTGATAGCTTTTGAGACGTCTCAAAAGATGCAGAGGATGTGCTCGTGATAGCTTTTGAGACGTCTCAAAAGATGCAGAGGATGTGGTCGTGATAGCTTTTGAGACGTCTCAAAAGATGCAGAGGATGTGCTCGTGATAGCTTTTGAGACGTCTCAAAAGATGCAGAGGATGTGCTCGTGATAGCTTTTGAGACGTCTCAAAAGATGCAGAGGATGTGGTCGTGATAGCTTTTGAGACGTCTCAAAAGATGCAGAGGATGTGCTCGTGATAGCTTTTGAGACGTCTCAAAAGATGCAGAGGATGTGCTCGTGATAGCTTTTGAGACGTCTCAAAAGATGCAGAGGATGTGCTCGTGATAGCTTTTGAGACGTCTCAAAAGATGCAGAGGATGTGCTCGTGATAGCTTTTGAGACGTCTCAAAAGATGCAGAGGATGTGCTCGTGATAGCTTTTGAGACGTCTCAAAAGATGCAGAGGATGTGCTCGTGATAGCTTTTGAGACGTCTCAAAAGATGCAGAGGATGTGCTCGTGATAGCTTTTGAGACGTCTCAAAAGATGCAGAGGATGTGCTCGTGATAGCTTTTGAGACGTCTCAAAAGATGCAGAGGATGTGGTCGTGATAGCTTTTGAGACGTCTCAAAAGATGCAGAGGATGTGCTCGTGATAGCTTTTGAGACGTCTCAAAAGATGCAGAGGATGTGCTCGTGATAGCTTTTGAGACGTCTCAAAAGATGCAGAGGATGTGCTCGTGATAGCTTTTGAGACGTCTCAAAAGATGCAGAGGATGTGCTCGTGATAGCTTTTGAGACGTCTCAAAAGATGCAGAGGATGTGCTCGTGATAGCTTTTGAGACGTCTCAAAAGATGCAGAGGATGTGCTCGTGATAGCTTTTGAGACGTCTCAAAAGATGCAGAGGATGTGCTCGTGATAGCTTTTGAGACGTCTCAAAAGATGCAGAGGATGTGCTCGTGATAGCTTTTGAGACGTCTCAAAAGATGCAGAGGATGTGCTCGTGATAGCTTTTGAGACGTCTCAAAAGATGCAGAGGATGTGCTCGTGATAGCTTTTGAGACGTCTCAAAAGATGCAGAGGATGTGGTCGTGATAGCTTTTGAGACGTCTCAAAAGATGCAGAGGATGTGCTCGTGATAGCTTTTGAGACGTCTCAAAAGATGCAGAGGATGTGCTCGTGATAGCTTTTGAGACGTCTCAAAAGATGCAGAGGATGTGCTCGTGATAGCTTTTGAGACGTCTCAAAAGATGCAGAGGATGTGCTCGTGATAGCTTTTGAGACGTCTCAAAAGATGCAGAGGATGTGCTCGTGATAGCTTTTGAGACGTCTCAAAAGATGCAGAGGATGTGCTCGTGATAGCTTTTGAGACGTCTCAAAAGATGCAGAGGATGTGCTCGTGATAGCTTTTGAGACGTCTCAAAAGATGCAGAGGATGTGCTCGTGATAGCTTTTGAGACGTCTCAAAAGATGCAGAGGATGTGCTCGTGATAGCTTTTGAGACGTCTCAAAAGATGCAGAGGATGTGCTCGTGATAGCTTTTGAGACGTCTCAAAAGATGCAGAGGATGTGGTCGTGATAGCTTTTGAGACGTCTCAAAAGATGCAGAGGATGTGCTCGTGATAGCTTTTGAGACGTCTCAAAAGATGCAGAGGATGTGCTCGTGATAGCTTTTGAGACGTCTCAAAAGATGCAGAGGATGTGCTCGTGATAGCTTTTGAGACGTCTCAAAAGATGCAGAGGATGTGGTCGTGATAGCTTTTGAGACGTCTCAAAAGATGCAGAGGATGTGGTCGTGATAGCTTTTGAGACGTCTCAAAAGATGCAGAGGATGTGCTCGTGATAGCTTTTGAGACGTCTCAAAAGATGCAGAGGATGTGCTCGTGATAGCTTTTGAGACGTCTCAAAAGATGCAGAGGATGTGCTCGTGATAGCTTTTGAGACGTCTCAAAAGATGCAGAGGATGTGCTCGTGATAGCTTTTGAGACGTCTCAAAAGATGCAGAGGATGTGCTCGTGATAGCTTTTGAGACGTCTCAAAAGATGCAGAGGATGTGCTCGTGATAGCTTTTGAGACGTCTCAAAAGATGCAGAGGATGTGCTCGTGATAGCTTTTGAGACGTCTCAAAAGATGCAGAGGATGTGCTCGTGATAGCTTTTGAGACGTCTCAAAAGATGCAGAGGATGTGCTCGTGATAGCTTTTGAGACGTCTCAAAAGATGCAGAGGATGTGCACGTGATAGCTTTTGAGACAGTACAGTACAGTACAGTACAGTACAGCAAGGATGCAGAGGATGTGCTCGTGATAGCTTTTGAGACAGTACAGTACAGTACAGTACAGTACAGCAAGGATGCAGAGGATGTGCTCGTGATAGCTTATCAGTATGGCATGGAAGCATTGAGGTGATTCTTGAGGCGCCTAAAAAAGCATCCAATAGGCCCATGACGTGATGACATGGCATACCTGCATGAGGATGACGTCAGCGTGGTCCACGATGACAATCTGACGTGGCGGGGCGGGGAGTGACATGGTGCACGGGATAAGAATTGAGGATGACAGTGGTGCATGTATGATACGGAGGATTATACGGCATGGTAATGGGGGAGGGCTGAGGTGGGTGGAAGGTGGAGAGAGTACAGGTAACAATGTTATGTGTGTTGGCCTGGTTTTGAGTCGACTCAAAACAAGGTGGAAAGAGAAGAGGTAACAATGTTAGAAGTGTTGGCAGAGGATGACAGTGGTACGTGCATGGTGGATAATGCATGTGTCATGCATGCATGCACGTCACTTGCACACCTGCACAAACCCACACTCCCACCCCACGTGGCCGCCCAGACACACCGTGCATGCATGCATGCACTCGGACACATGGACACTCTCACGCACATGCACGCATACGTCTGGACTGGACCGTAACAGAATGACTGACATGACCAGCGTTGACCAGCGTTGACCAGCATTGACCACCACTAACCAGTGTTGATCAACGTTGACTATCATTGACCAGCGTTGACCAACATTGACCAGCGGTGACCAACATTGACCAACGTTGACCAGCGTTGACCAGCATTGACCAGCGTTGACCAGCGTCGACCAGCACTGACCAGCATTGAAGAGCCTTGACAAGCATTGACCAGCGTTGATCAGCATTGACTGAGTACATACACACACACACACCTCAATGAAGGAGAGGAAGTCCACGTCCTTGTCACTGTCCTCCATAGGTGACCTTTGAGTCTACTATGTGTTGACCAGCATTGACCAGTGTTGACTGAGCACACACACACACACGAACCTCAATGGAGGAGAGGAAGTCCATGTCCTTGTCACTGTCCTCCATAGCCTCGCCCAGCTTCTGCACGCGGGCAGGTGGGCAAACGAAAAACGTGGGGCGGGAGTTGAAGAGAAAAAGAGATGAGTGGGGTTGGGTGGCAAAATCAAAGAAGAAAAGTGAACGAGGCAAGTGAACGTGAAACTGATGGGCTTGCCGGAAGCAAGATAAAAGCATGGCGGCAAGGAGGGGGAAGTGTTGAATCAGTATTAAGAGAGTGGGGCAGATTTTGAGAAGTGGAAAAGGAGGAGGTTTTTAAGCAGTTGTTACAATAAGACAGTTCTTTTCTCCTCGCCGCTCAAAGAGGCGACGAGGCCAGAGAAACGAAAAGCAGAAAGGACAGGGAGTGTAGAACAGCTGTGGGAAGAGGGCAACTGGGCTGGGCTGGGCAGCAAAGGGAAGAGATGAGGAGAGCACGCACGGTGACGAGCCCGATGGGCGAGGCAACGATGATGTCTGACTGGTAGAAGTCCGTGTAGAGCTTGACTGCCTTCCTGGGATGGTGGTGGGGAGCAGGTGATGGGATAGGGTCATGTAAGTGAGCGAAAGGGCATGGGAGCAAAGGGCGGTGTGTGTTGGTGGTGATGTCTGACTGGTAGAAGTCCGTCCAGAGCTTGACGGCCTTCCTGGGGTGATGGGTGGGGGATGGGTGGGGGATGGGTGGTGTGGTGGCAGGTGGTTGGAAGTGGGGATAGAAAGGGGTACGACGAGCGAGGCATCAACGATGTCCAACTGGTAGAGCTTCACTGGTTTCCTGAGATGGTGGGTGGGAAATGAGGCGTGATGGGTGGGGGATGAGACGTGATGGTTGATGGGTGGTGAAAATCCGTGTACATCTTGGGATGATAGGAGCAGGAAACAGGATGGTGGGATGGTGTGACGGCATGATGGTGTGATGGCATGATGGTGTGACGGCATGATGGTGTGATGGCATGATGGTGTGATGGCATGATGGTGTGATGTGATGGCATGATGGTGTGATGGCATGATGGTGTGACGGCATGATGGTGTGATGGCATGATGTTGTGATGGCATGATGTTGTGATGGCATGATGGTGTGACGGCATGATGGTGTGACGGCATGATGGTGTGACGGCATGATGGTGTGATGGCATGATGGTGTGACGGCATGATGGTGTGATGGCATGATGGTGTGACGGCATGATGGTGTGATGGCATGATGGTGTGATGGCATGATGGTGTGATGGCATGATGGTGTGATGGCATGATGGTGTGATGGCATGATGGTGTGATGGCATGATGGATGGTGTGATGGCATGATGGTGTGATGGCATGATGGTGTGATGGTATAGTGGTGATATGGTACGGTCACAGGGCGACACATCTGCACAACACAACACCACAGACCATCACATGTGGAACCTCACTTGGTGAACTTGATGCCGAGGCGGAAGTGGTCGTCATTATTGCCCACAAACATGGCCCGATAATTCATAGCACAACACAACAGATATACCATAGCTGCTAGCACACCACACCACCACACTGCACCACTCAGCACAGCCCCGCACATCACCACACACCACCGCATACTTGGTGAACTTGATGCCAAGGCGGAAGTGGTCGTCATTGTTGCCGGCAAACATGGCCCGGTGATCCACCGGCTTCAACCCCTTGCGCAGCACTGCTGCTGCCGCCTCTGCCTCTGCTGCGGTTTCTGTCGCTGCTGCTGCGGCTGCATCACCATCTCCCTCCTGCCCTCCATTCTCCTCCTCCTCTGGCTCCCATGACAGTCCACGGCCCACCTGCTGCTGCTGCTTCCTCCTCTTCCTCTCCCTGGCCTTTCTCCTCTCCTCCTCGTCCTCCTCCTCACTCTCCTCCTCCTCGCTCTCTTCCTCCCCAAACTCAGCGAGAAAACGATCCAAATGCTCCACTGCCACCTGTAACGGCGGTGAGGTGCGGGTGTGAGAAGGAGGGCATAAAAGGATTCCTGAAAGGAGTTAGAAAATGACTCGGCAAGAAAACGATCCAAATGCTCCACTGCTACCTCCAAGTGTGGGGTGGGTGAGAAGGAGGGACGGCGTACGAGGAGAAGCCAACTGAAATACGACTTCTGAGTCGACTCAAACGTCGCCAAGCTCAGCGAAAAAAGCGACCCAAATGATCCACTGCTGCTAACGAAGTGCGGTGACGAAGGAGAAACGACGAGCATTCGAAATTTCAAAATCGTGGGATCGAGGGAAGTCGTACAAAACTGTTGAGTTTTGAGATGTCTCGACAAACCCACGAGTATATAAGAAATAAAAACTCCGCGAGTAACCAACCGAACTGATCGACTGTTTGCACACAACGACCTTGGATTGGCAGGAAGATGAGGAACTGACCTTGGATTGGCAGGAAGATGAGGAACTGACCTTGGATTGGCAGGAAGATGAGGAACTGACCTTGGATTGGCAGGAAGATGAGGAACTGACCTTGGATTGGCAGGAAGATGAGGAACTGACCTTGGATTGCGGGAGGTGTGATTTGCAGCAGCCGCTGCACCACGGTCAGAGCAGCGTTGCAGTATGGGAGGAGGAGCAGCACTTTGGGCCTTGTGAAGCCCTGGTCCCTGGGGATACTCTCCCCCTCCTCCAGCTCCTTCCCACCCATGACGCATTCAGACCACACCACTGACCTTGGATTGCGGGGGTGTTACTCGCAGCAGCCGCTGCACCACGTTCAGCGCACTGTTGCGGTATGGAAGCAGCAGCAGCACCTTGGGTCTGGTGAAGCCCTGGTCCCTTGGGATATTCTCCACCTCCACCAACTCCTTCCCATCCATCACCACCCCGCCTGGCCCTTTCCTCCCTCTCTTCCCGCCGTTTCCTCCCTTCTTGAAAAGCACACTCTCCGTCCCTTCTTCCTCCATCTCCTCTCCCTTCCCCTCCTCCGCTGCTTGCTCTGCCGCTTGCTTCCCCTCCTTCGCCTCAGCATCCGTTTCCCTCTCTTCTTTCGCCATCCTATCCTCCCCTGATTCTGAGCTTGCAGCAGCTGTAGCTGCGGCATTACCCTCTTGACTCCCCCCCTTCTCTCCACCACCTTTCCTCCTCTTCTTCCCTTTTACACCAGCGGCAGCATCAGCAGCGTCAGCTGCAGCAACAGCAGCAGCGGAGGCTCGGTTGAGCTTGTCGTTGTTCTTGGTGATGCGGTCCCGCGTGTGAAAGACGTGGTTCAGCTGTGGAGAGGAGGTGGGGGAGAAGGCGGGGGAGGGGAGGAGGAGAAAGGATGGGCAGGAAGGAACTCAAAGGCAGGATGTGTGTGTGTGTGTGTGTGTGTGTGTGTGTGTGTGTGTGTGTGGAGGGGCTAAGACACAGTGAAGAGCAGGTGCGAGCGAGTGAGTGATGGCACAGTACCGCGTGCAGCAGGTAGGCGTCAGTGAGGGCCTGTGCGTCCAGAGGCGTGCCGAACTTGGGCTGCGCGGCGTGGCTGAGAAAGAGTGTGCGAGTAGGAGCTTGCAGGTAGGCACAGCTGAGAGCTGCTGCTAGCAGGCAAAGCAAGCAAGGGCAAAGCGTACTGCATGCAGAAGGTAGGCGTCGGTGAGGGCCTGAGCGTCCAGAGGCGTGCCGAACTTGGACTGTGCGCACGGACGTCGCGAATGCAGCACATCCGTGTATGACGTGCCTGAAGAGGGATGGGAGAAGTAGGAGGGGGGGAAGGAAGAGGGAGGAGGGAGGGGGGTGGATGGAGAGGTGAAGGGAGGGAACCTGCTAAGGCACAACGGGGCATGAACGGAACAAGACGGGTGAAGAAAAGGATAAGAACTCGCAACCTGGAGTCAGCACGGGTCAGAAGGGATGGGTGTGCCAGCACGGGTCAGAAGGGATGGGTGTGCCAGCCGGCCAGGAGGGATGAGTCAGAGTGGAACAAGAATGCTCACAGAGGGAGAAGAATTGCCGTTGATGGTCGCTCGCAAACCCATCACTTGCACCCACTGCTGCCACGGCTTCACCTGAAGAGGCACCACCAGCCGACCCATTTTCCACTGCTGCTAGACTCTTCTTCCCTCTCTTCCGCTTCCCCCCGCCATCACTGTTGCCATTACAGCTGCTGCTGCTGCTGCCTCCACCCCCCTGCCTCAACCCCAGCAGCTGCTCATAATCCTCCTCCACCACTCTCCCCCAATGCTCCTTCAGCCGTCCCTTGAACCCCTCCCACGCATCCACCTCCTCCTCCTCCGCCTCCTTATGCTTATCTTTATTCTTATCCTTCACAGTCTCCTTATCCTCATTTTTATCCTTATCAGCGGCAGCAGCGGACCAGGGAAGTGCATGGTCAGCCACCCACTTGCCGCCCGGAACGCCGATTGCCGGCCACTCGTACGAAAACTTGAGTGGCTTGCCGCCCCCTGCACCACCCAAGCCACTGGAACTGCCACCGCCACTGCCACTGCCCTTGCCTTTGCCCTTGCCCTTCCGTCCTGCACCTGTGACAGCAGCAGCAACAGCAGCAGCAGCAGCAGCAGCAGCAGTTGCAGCAGCATTGGTGTCAGCAGAAGCTCCCAGCGAGAGGAGCTCCTGTGGCGTGAGCATGTGATCCATGCGCTGGGCGAATGGGCTGGGGAGAGTGGGCGAGGGGGGAGGGGGAGAGTGGGGGGCAATGCGAACATGTTGCGCCGCTCCATGCACCAACCAAGCCACTGGACCTCCCAGTGAGAGGAGCTCCTATGGAGTGAGCATGTGATCCATGCGCTGGGTGAATGGGCTGGGGGCGAGTGGGAGAAAAGGGGAATGGATGGGTGGGAGAAGGGCGAGTGTGAGAAGGGGGAAGTTGGGACAATGTGAACGCCTTGCAGCTTCATGCACCACCGAGGTCACTCCACTGCACCTCCCAGCGAGAAGGGCTCCTGTGGAGTGAGCATGTGACCCATGCGCTGGGGATAGTGGGCGAGGGGGAGGGTGGGAGAAGGGGGAGAGTGGAGAGGGAGTTGGGGGAGAGTGGGGTGGGACAACTTGAACGCCTTGCCTCTCCCTGCAGAACCACAGCAAGAAGAGCCACTGGACCTCGCAGCAAGAAGAGCTCCTGTGGCGTGAGCATGTGATCCATGCGCTGGGCGAATGGGCTGGGGGCGAGTGGGAGGCGAGGGAGTAGGAGAGGGGCGAGCGGGAGAGAGGGGCGAGCGGGAGAGAGGGGAGTGGGAGAGAGGGGAGGGAGGCGAGGGAGTAGGAGAGAGGGGAGTGGGAGAGAGGGGAGTGGGAGAGAGGGGAGTGGGAGAGAGGGGAGTGGGAGAGAGGGGAGTGAGAGAGAGGGGAGTGGGAGAGAGGGGAGTGGGAGAGGGGCGAGTGGGAGAGGGGCGAGTGGGAGAGGGGGGAGTGAGAGAGGTTGGGTGGGTGGGGAGTAGGGGAAAATTTGAGGGGAAGCAGAAGAGGGGTGGAGGAGAGCGGAGATGTGGTATGAGCTGAGGGGACGGCAAGGAAAGTGAACGACGGCGTCTGACACGACACGAAGCGTGGACGATCTTTGAGGCGCCTCAAAAATAGCACAAGACGGGTGGAGGAGAGTGGAAATGTGGGATGAGCTGAGGGGACGGCAAGGAGAGCGAACGACGGCGTGTGACACTAAGTGCGAACGTGGATGTTTTTAGCGTGAGAGAAACGAAACAGCGGATTGATTGGGTGTGCTTACTCGTGTCTGCCTGTAGCAGCAGCACCATGGCCATCACCCCCTCCAGCTTCCTCCTCCTCATCCACTCCCTCCTCCTCTTCACCTTCCTCATCTTCCCCTTCCTCCTCATCCTCACCACTACTATCCTCCGATTTTACTCCACCAGCACCAACAGACCGTCCCATCCCCATCCCCATCCCCATCCCCATCCCCATCCCCCTCCTCATCCCCATCCTCATCCTCCTCCCCATTTTCGCCTTCTGCTTCTGTATCTGAATCTCCTGCCTCATTTCCCTCCTCCTCTTCACTCCCCTCTGGTCCCGCTTCATCTTCTTCCTCCTCCTCCTCCTCCTCCTCCTCGCTCTCTATCCCCAAAGCGTCCCTCTCCCTGCAATCAACCACACTCGCCCCAAAACACACAAGGTCAGTCATGCAACACTCCTGGTGCTTGCATGCATGCATTGCATGTGTGCGTGCACAAGAACCATGTGAGAGCAATAAACACACACGATTGACGGTTTTTGAGGCGCCTCAAGAGCAATAAACACACGATTGACGGTTTTTGAGGCGCCTCAAGAGCAATAAACACACACGATTGACGGTCACATTGGCATTGGCATGACAAGCATCATACGCTCTCGGCTGCTGCGTGAGCCCTTGTTGTTGCAGGCGTTCTTTATTTCAGAATTCTCTCAAAACGGTAACATTGCTGCAAGAGCCTCAAAAGCCACGCATCGCACCCATTGCCCGCATCACACGGTCATCTCCCCGCACCTCTGAGAGTAGACCTGTGAGAGCGCGCCACGTGTACTCTTTCCCAGCGATGTCAGCAGGGCAGAGTAAGCATCAGGGCCAGCCACACTCAACCCTAGACCCGCACCCTCCTCCTCCTCCGACTCTTCATTCCCCTCTTCCCCCAGTTTCCCCCCTTCAGCGCGCTTCCCTCCCCTTCCACCAGAACGGGGATCTCCCGGACCCCCCGTTCGCCTCCCGCCCCTCCCGCGCGCATCCCCCTTCCCCGTCCCCCTCGCATCATGTCCTCCGGCGGCGAAATGTCTTGCGCTTCCCCCTGCGGCCGCAACTGCCCCACCTCGCCAGCTCCCCCTTCCCCCGCCTCTTCCCCTTCCTCGTCCTCCCCCTCTTCCTCGTCCCCTATGCCTGCCTACTGGCCCCATGGGACCTGTTTCTTCCAATCGGTTCCTTCAGCCTCCTGGATTTCACGTCGAATATGACCTAGCACACGCTTAGCAGATGCAAACAACACGCAGTTTCGATTGAATGGACTTTCAAATAAGAGCCACTAGATCTAGACCGATAGGCTGGAGGTGACAGGAAAAAGGTTTATTCGAAGCTCGGGTTCAGGGTGCAGGGCTTTGGCTGTCTGCTTTACGGGGCTGTTGAACCGTCTCATTTTGGTTCACAAGCTGCAAAATTGCTAACGTGGAGGTGATGAGGATGGAATAATAGGGTAGGCGTGAGAATAATGATGGCAAGAAAAAACTCTAAACATTTAGCCTGGCCCTCTTGTTTTTAAATAAATCCTACAAATTCCTCGTCTCATTTGCTTCAACTCTGAAAAGGATTTAACAGAAATTTACAGTTGAAACATGTGCTAAAAAAAATATTGGGGTCAATGCTCAAGCTACTTCCATTTCAATAAATCTTTTTTTTGGCAATGCAAGTTACACTATAGTAGCGCATACAAGCATTAACAGTCATAACTGTCCATTTCAATAAATCAATAGTCAGCTGCAAGAAAATTGTTCTTCTAAAAGCGGACAAATTCGGCTGGTCTACCATCTCTCCCTCGTCATTCCAAGAGCTTGTGTGCTTGGCTGTTGTACAAACTGGCGGAAGTATCGGCAGTCCCGTTGCTGTGCGATGCCTTCGCGAACGCTGGTCCACGGGCCTCGCTGCGTAACATTCTACGGCAACATGCGGCGGTGTCAGGAGCACCAATCAGGCTGGGACAAGAAAAAGTGGCGCCAAAGAATCAGGGAGCCTCGAGGACGCGCGAATCAGAACCAGCAGCGCAGGTAGACGCTTCGAGAATGCCTCCTCCGAGGTTGCCTTATCCTTCACACCCCGCCTATTCTTTCTGATTCGTTTCGATACGGTTTCAACGGCTAGGAGTGGAGCTTCAGGGTGGGGATTGTGAGCGTCAACCCCTCCTGGAATGTCTCAGTATTTTCTTCGTAAGTCTTCAGCCGTTCGGCCTTTTCTCTTGCTCTCAACACGGAGTGTAACGTGAAGACCGACGATTATCAATCCAATAGCACTCCCAGAAGTTTCGCGGGACGTGGGGTGCTGCTCTGTTCGGAGATTTATGTGGATAACGGCTAGTTTCCCAGCGTTACCAGGTTTCTGCCTAGCAGCTTCGGATTTCACGTGCGGAACCTGTAGCATACCGACGCGTTCTGGTTTCTTACAAAGCGAAGCGCCAGAAATATCGAGCTAGCTACAGCACTTGCTGCATGGATCCACATGCGGAAACGAGTGGCATAGAGGACGCAACAGCTAAGTTGGAGTCCACGTCGCTAGCCAGAGCTAGCCATAACCGCATCACCAAAGGCATTGGCAGATTTGGCACGCCTAAGTCGTTGATATTATCCGAATCACGTAGCAACATAGTTCTTGATTCGCGTCTCCCTGTTACCGGCTCGAAGGGAGTTGGTGACGCTTGTCTTCATGAGCATAATGAGCCTGGTAGCTGCATCTGTAACTGCAGCTGTAGCAACATCGGCACCGGCGTTTCTTTGAAGAGCTTGAGACCTCTGCTGGAGCTTCTGGTAAAGCAGAAAGCGGAAACGGCAGCATCTTGCGCGATGGTCACCACCAGAGGCATTGGACGATTCGGCAAACCAAATTATGTAGCATCTATGAAGTCACACCGTGCCAACAGACCCTTGTGCTTCAAGCCTCCTCAACCCTCAGTGCGGGTTGACTGCACGAAACGTCTCACTACAGACCATTGCAACAGCATCGTGCTGAAGAGTCTGAGACCGTTGCTCGAGAACTTGGCAAGACAGTCCCACTCCTCTTCCTCCTTCACCAGTTCTCCTGCTGGCCAGAAGTCCAAAACGGTGCAGAGTGTTGGGCCGGGGGATGTGAATCCAGGAGGAATAGGCCGTTTCAGAGGGCAAGTCGCTGCATTTGAGATCACTGCCGCTGCATCTTCTCCCATCTCAGCGTCTGCTGTACCTTCTGTGGTACCATCGCCTGCAGTTGTGGTTGTGCCGCCGGCAGCTGCAGCAGCAGTGCCAGATCCAAGTGCTGCTGCCATGCTGGAGTCGTCAGGTTCTGAAGCTGATCCTCTGCTGCTGCAATCTCAGTTCAAAGCGGCCAAGAACAAGTGCAGAAGTGACAATGAAGGTGTACCTGCCAGTTACGATAGCAACCCTATTGGCAACCCTTGCAGCAACCCTGGCAGCAGCCCTGGCAGCAACCCTATCAGCAGCAGCATCAGCAGCAGCATCAAACAGGTGCTCCTCTTAAGGACCATCCGATCCGTTGTGCAGGATCTGGTACGCCAGAGGGCAGATCCTACCAATCGTGTTGCTGACAACCACAGGTCCGCCAGGCGGCGTCTGAAGGAAGCCCTGTTGCAGCTGGCCTTGCAACGAGTGGCAGCCAGCCATTTGTGTGAGGCGAAGGGGAGGTCGGATGGTGTGGAGGAGGGTTGCAGGAAAGGGATGCAAGTAGGTTCCAAGTAGGTTGCAGGCAGGTTGCAGTAACGGTGGCAGATGGGACTCAGCAGAGGCAGGAGGGAAGCAGCAAGGGGGAGGGGAAGCAAGTGGACAGTAAAAAGGTGGGTAGCTGGATCATTAGCCAGCGGCTTCAGGGATGGGTGGGGGAGAGGCAGGTGATTATTAAGGATTATTCAGTGGTGGAGTTTGAGTGCATAAGGAGCAAGCAGCAGCTGGTGAAGAAGCAGCAATACTGAGGGAAGATCCTCATATGAGGACCTTCTTTTACTGTATTGGTTGCCAAGCGGCAAAAGCTAGCATGTAGCATCCCGCATATCTGCATTTGAGTGTGGATCAAGCATGTGCTTGAGGTGAGCAATTGAGGCAAAATGGTGGAGTAGCACACCAGCATTGGGTGATCTTATTGTAGTCCTTGCAGCTGCAGATACACTGCCTTCCGGTGTCTAGGTGGCTACCCTTTTTGTTAGTCATTCAAAAAGGTTGCAGTAGCTGCATATGTTTTGTCATGCCATCTAGTTTGAATAAAACCTGCTGATGCATGAGTTTCACACATCTATGCTACAGATGGTACAGTATGGCAGAGTCTAGCTGGTGAGCCCTAAATTGATGGACACCCTGCGACCCAGAACACCATCTTCACCAATAAACGTGGGAGTCAGGCTTCCATGGCTTGAAGTCATTTGCCGGTCCGGCAGTCCAGTTCAGCCTCTCATCACCGGGCTGTAAATACGTTGACGGCGGGTGAGGAAGCTTCCTTGCAAGACCATTTAGCACCTGGTGAAACACATCCCCTTCCTGTGGCTGCGGATGGCCCAGCACCACGGCCTGCCTGATCGCATGCGACGCGAGCCGCTGCTGCATCGCCAGCACTCTCTTCGGCCCAATCCCAGCCAGAATCTCGTCCAACTTCGGCACGTCTTTTTCCGGGACGAAAACAGCGATTTCCCGCCACGGGATGACATCAGAGAAGGGTAAGACGATGTTATCGGCTATGATGACAGGGATGCAGCCGAAGAAGACGGACTCGACAAGGCGCGGCGACCAGGGCGCCCAGCCGAGCGGGCAGAGACAGAAGAGCGAGCGCTGCATGTCTTCGTAGTAGGATGCAGGGTGCTCTGCTGACATGTCAAATAGAGGGTTGCTCTTGAAGTTCTCCCAAATGGATGCCCGTGCGCCTCTGCAGGAGAGGGGAGGGAAACCAGAAGGAGAGGGGAGCAGGGAGCAGGGAGCGGGAAGATGTGAGAGGTGAGAGTGGGAGAGTGGGAAAGTGGGGAGAGAAGGGGAATGGAGGGGCGTCCAGCTGAGCGGGCAGAGGCAGAAGAGCGAGCGCTGCATGTCCTCGTAGTAGGACGCGGGGTGCTCTGCTGACATGTCAAACAGAGGGTTGCTCTTGAAGTTCTCCCACATGGATGCACGTGCACCTCTGCAGGACCAGCAGGTAAGGAAGGGGTGGGGATGTGGAAGAGGAAAAGGGAGGGGTGGGATGCGGTAATGAGGTTACATACACAATGATGCTCCACTGGCATGTCAAACAGCGAGTTGCTCTTGAAGTTCTCCCACATCGATGCACGTGGGCCCCTGCAGAGCAGCTCAGAGCACAGCTCAGCTGGGCTCACCTGGCGTGCAGTCAGCCTCACCTGGCACTATCCCCCCCCCCTGCGGGTCATTGTTGCGGTCGTAGAACAGCCCGCGGAAGTACACAAAGATGGAGCGCGGAGTGTCAGCACCGTGCAAGTGGCATGCTGAAAACACACTGGCGCGCAGTCAGCCTCACCTGGCATAGTACCCACATTGGGGGTCGTTGCGGTCGTAGAACAGCCACGGAAGACACAAAGATGGAGCGCAGCGTGTCGGGGGGGATGCTGGAAAGCACACACCTTACCCCCACAAGCTCACTCAGCGCACCTCAGGGCAGAGCCTCACCTGGCATAATAGCCCCCCTGGGGGTCGTTGTTGCGGTCGTAGAAGAGCCCACGGAAGTACACAAAGATGGAGCGCGGCGTGTCGGGAGGGATGCGGCGGCGGTGCATGTGGCCCGTGGGGGCGAAGGGAGGCACCACGATGCTGCCGGGCTTGTGGCACACGTGGTGCGACTGCCCGAACGTCTGCACCAGGGTTGCTCTCTTGAGCAGAGGCATGATGCCGCGGGTGATAGCCTTCTCTTCCTGAAGGTCGGGAAGTGAAGGGTTGGAAGAGGGAAGGAGAGCGGGTCAGAGGGTGAGTGGCTTGTGGCACACGTGGTGCGACTGCCCAAACGTCTGCACCAGGGTGGCGCGCTTTAGGAGAGGCATGATGCCGCGAGTGACAGCTTTTTCTTCCTGGCGTTAGGGATGAAAAGTGTTGGCGGGAAGGGAAGTCAGACAGAGAGTGAGTGACTAGCGACACACGTGGTACAACTACCCTAACGCCGCCTGCACCAGCATCGCTCGTTTTAGAAAAGGCATGATGCTGTGGGTGGTGGTTTTCTCTTCGTGAAGGTTGAATGCAAAGGAAGAATAAGGAAAGAGCGAGTGGCTCGCAGCACGTGGTAGACTTTGCCCCTGTGCTGTATAAGCCTGCCCATCATGCTACTCTGCTCTCCGCTGTGCTCTGTTCTCTGCTCCCTGCTCCGTGCCCCCTGCTCCCTCTTCCCTGCTTCCTAAACTCTTCGTTACAGTCACACTCACCTCGTAGTGAAAGCACGCGCCGAAATCGTGCGGCGTGATGAAGAAGTGATCCGCGCCGTCGGTTCGGTTCCAGTACGGCCACTTCTCCGACACCAGCGTGATCCCCGCGCGGATCATGCGCGGCGACCGGAACGGCAGCGGCAATCCCGAGGCCGTTAGATCGCACGTGGGATACACGGGCATGTAGAACCAGTCGGCTTCGTCCGGGTTCGTCGTACGTACGGGGCTGTTCAAGATGTAACGGTGGAACAGCACTTCTAACGCGAACATGTGCGTCAGGCAGCGGGGTTGCTTCTTGATGAAATTGTAGTTGAAATCGCGCGGTAAATCGTAGACGTAGATCTTGAGTCGACCCACGGGATTGCCGACCAGCTCTTCCTGCTGGTGCCGCTGCTGCGAACTCAGACTCGTGTCGCTATCGCCCTCATTGCCGCCGACATTGACGCTCTCTTCCTTTGCTGCCGGGTCGAAGGACGGGAGAAGAGAGTGGATCAAGGAGTTAATGATAAATCTCACCTGGGATAACGCAAGGCCTCATGAATGAAGATTCGCTTTGAACATCTCAAAACACACTATCCTTCACCAAACGCAAGATGAAACTTCACTCAGGAGCCTCAGAAGCGTACCCCGGATCAATTTTACCTGAAGTCAACCTCCTAGTAAGCGTTAAAACTACACTAACGCGTACGTCACAGGAAAAACCTCGACCAGCACCCACCTCCTAAGCTATCCGCCGCGTCGCCTCCAGTCACGCCCATCACCATCTCCTTATCCTGCATCTTACGTCGGACTAAACTGCTAACTCCGGCAGTCGAAGGCCCGCTAATCCCCGTAGACGATACTCCTTGCAAGCCATCCGTCCGTTGCTGCAGCAATTGCTGCTGCGATTGTTGCTGCTGCGACGAGCCATCGGCGTAGGGTCCGATAACAGAATCGTCAAGTGCCGTTGGACTGGGTAAACTGGGGACTCTGGCGTTTAGGTTGAGGTTACGGTTGAGCGACGGGAGGACGATGACCAGCAGCAGCGCGAGCAGGAACCCCGGATCCGTCACGGCGCTCTGCGCGCCGCGAATGAACGGAGTTAATCTCCGAATCATGGCGGTGAGGGTAAAATCAGTGATCGATGATGAGCTGTAGTATATGCGAAGAGAAATGTGGAGAGGAGGGAGGAGGACGCTGATGATGGCTCAAGGAGAGCTGACTCGTTGAGAATTCAGAGAGGCAGCTCCAAAGATAACTACAGCGGGCTTTGAAAAATAATTAACATACGGATTTGAGGCGTGTTGGAACGTGTCATTATTACTTCAAATCAGCGAGAATATCTGACGAGATTCATTGCGATGCGGAGTGATCCGTGGGCAACACACCACGAACTGAGCAGCGAGAGCCTTAGTAGGCTTGGTCGCTCGTGTTACTTGAACGCGATGGGACAAATCTATTCACGACTCAAGAGTCACGACTTTCTCGGCTGTCACCCTCGACACCAGATTCCGTAAGGGGGTTTGTTCGCTTTCAAGGTAGGCGAATCAGAAAATATTGATTATGGAAACGCGCACGGTACGTCGCTGGTTGAATGTGGGTCCAGGCTCCAGAATCTAGACTACCACGGCTTCTGTGCCTAGTATTTTGTGGTTCATCCATGGCTCCCTCTCTTCGGCTTGCTGTACTTGTTTTGCTTGTTTGGCAGTTGGTTGGCAACCCTCTTTCATTGTGTCACCCAGCTTTCCATTAAAAAGAGTGAAAGGTAAAAGCTACCACGATTTTCACTTGCATTCTTGTTGTTTCGGGACCATATTTTCCATAATCTCACGACAAAACTCTCTGTAGTTTCGTTGCTATAGCTGGATAACTACTAGGAACATTCTATCCTGAGAAGTCTGAGTGTATTCCCTGTGAAACGTGATACTCAAGGGGCACAAGGAACGCCAGTCACACCGTCAATTGTGACTGAAGCGATGGTATGGGAGTGCGCGAAACGGGGTTCCATCACAATTACGGGGAGGCATTGGTCGTGAGTTGTGACTGATGTGGTACTGTATCCGTTGCGCGCCCTAAAAGAGTTTCGATTGGCTGACTCATCCAGTAGACTGCTTCCGTTAGCCCCCGTGTCAGAATCATGGCATCCTTCAACGAGACCAAACGTTACAGTCACCGTGACTTCCATAAAAGATCTACACGTGTCCTACTGCAGTCAAACCTGCGTATTTTACGGAGTTTAAACTATACAATGCAGAATAAAATCGTGGCTGAAACCACGAGAGCAAAGCATTAGCGCGTACAGCCCTCTGGAACCTTTTCGAGGTTCGAGTTTTCGAACTTCGAATGCCTTTTTGGAGTTACTGTAGCCCTCCCCCCCTCACCAATTGCTCCTTCGCAGCTGCAAATGTCATTTCGTGCCCCTGTCGTGAAATGCTTCAAACCCTCTCCTCTCGACCCTCTTTTCCAGCTGTTTCGACTCTCGACTTGAAAGCTCCGACGGAACCGCACCGCACCGCACCGCACAACGACTAGTGTCGGGATTATGGCTGCGAACGTGGACGCGGCGAAAGTGAATATACCTACAGAGACAGAGGCAGCGAAGGTAGGTAAGAGCGTTGCTGGCGATTCGACTGCCGCAGCTAACGCTGCGCCCGCTAGCTCTGTCAAGGACACTCTAAAAGCAGACGATCAGCTTGCAAACGGCGGGGAAGCCAAGAAACAGGGGATGGTTGCCGGAGGCGGGGATAATGCAGGGCAGCCGCAAGCGAACGGCGAGGCTGTTATAATCGCGGATGCTGGAAAATCGGAGCCCGTCAAAGCGGAAGCGACTAAGCCGGAAGCCGCTAAGGCAGAAGCGAGTGCAGAGGCGAAGAAGGTGGACGCGGAAAAAACGGACACTGAGAAAGCAAAGGCGGAAGAGAAGGCGGAAGCGAAGGCGGAAGAGAAGGGGGAAGCGAAGGCGGAGGGGAAGGCGGAAGCAAAGGCGGAAGAGAAGGGGGAAGCGAAGGCGGAGGAGAAGGCGGAAGTAAAGGCGGAGGAGAAGGCGGAAGCAAAGGCGGAAGAGAAGGCGGAAGCAAAGGCGGAAGACAAGGCGGAAGCAAAGGCGGAAGAGAAGGCGGAAGCTAAGGCGGAAGAGAAGGCGGAAGCAAAGGCGGAAGAGAAGGGGGAAGCGAAGGCGGAAGAGAAAACGGAAACAAAGGGGGGAGAAAAGGCGGAAGCAAAGGCGGAAGAAAAGGCGGAAACGAAGGCGGAAGATAAGGCAGAAGCGAAGGCGGAAGAGAAGGCGGAAGCAAAGTCAGCAGAAAATGGGGGCGCGGAAAAGGCGGAAGTGGGGAAGGAGGAAGCTGATAAGGCCGACACGGGGAAAGAGGAAGCGGAGAAGGCGGCGGAGAAGCCAGAAGCGGGGAAGGCTGACGTGGAGATGGCGGAAGCGGAGAAGGCGGAAGCGCCGAAGGCGGAAGCGGGAAAGACGCGGAGGTCGCGGAGGTCTCAAGCCGCCGGTGGTGATGCTGAAACCACCAACTCGAAGAAGAGGAAAGCTGAAACCGTCGAAGAGGAGAATGCCGCGACGAAGGAAGACGCGGCGCCGCCGGTAAGCGAGGCGCCGCCGACAGGCGAGCTGCCGGAAGGCGAGGGCCCGACGTGCTACTGCGACGCGGTGGAGGGGGAGGAGGGGCGGGAGGTGGAGGAAAATGCGGAGGGGGAAGCAGCGGCTGAGTCGGCGGGTGACGCGGCAGAGGGGAAAAAAGAAGAGGGCAAAGCGGACGCAGGGGAAGCGAAGGAGGCGGAGAAAAAGGAGGGAGACGGGGAGGCGAAGGCAGAGGGGGAGGGGAAGGCGGAGGGGAAGGGGAAGGGGACGCGGAAGCGGTTGGCGGTGGTGCGGACGGTGACGGCGGCGGCGAACGAGAACAAGGGGCTGCGGTACTGGACGTGCGCCAACTACCAGCCGCGCCCTTTCAAGCGCCCCCGCCACGCGCGCAAGGGTGCGCGCCACGCGGCGGACGAGGCGGAGGGGAAAAAGGATGTCACGCGGTGCAATTTCTTCAGGTGAGAGAAAATCGTTCCGTGAATGATTGAGTTATTCGAATTTAGAAAATTGTTTTACGAGTCTGGGTGTTACGCACGCTCAGGGAACGTTCTTGGCCGGTGTCAAGTTCCCTGACACAAGGCTACTGACGGCTGCGATCGCTCCACATCATCCTCAATCGAATCGAGACCCTTCACAGCTTCGTGTCAGCCTGCCTGACACCGGCCAGGAACGTTCCCTCGGTTGTGGACTTAGCTATAAGCGGCCTGAAAGTATGAGGTTTAGGAGGTCCACGTTGGCATGCGAGCCAGGGGTGGTATTTGGGTTGAATACGTTTTTCCTTCATTCTTTCTTTCTTTCTTGTACTTTTTATTGGTTCCTTTATTCAGCAATCTGATCTCAATGTTCTTGCTCCCTCCCCTTGCTTTCTGCAGGTGGCTGGACACCCCTCGTGTGACCAAGGAGGAGAAGGCCGCAGCGGCGAGGGAGAAGCGGCGCAAGAGAGAGCTGGCGCTGCTCGCATGATGAGGAAAGCCCTTTTCTCATGCGATCCTGCTCATGCTCATACGTTGTTGAGGCGCGCTGTGAAGCGAGGCGAGGGGTTTCTACATGGAAGGGTGGCTGGAGGGCTGGGTGGTGGTGGGAAGGAGTTGAGCAGGAGAGTTGAGATGCTGTGACATGACATGATCCGATGTGACATGACTTGACATGGTGGCCTGCATGGGGTTGCTGTTTACGGCTGGGCGGTAGGCTTGAGTGCCGGGGCTAACTGGGTATAGGGCTAACTGGGTTTGGTGGGGGGGTGGGAGGGAGGGAGGTGTGGTGGGGCAGGGATGATGGGGGGATGTGGTTGAAGGGGTGGTTGTCTTCGGTGTTAATCTCTGTTGGATCTCTGCTGTTGGTGTTTGTGGCCTGGTTGAATAGGCTGACTTCCGTAGGCTTTTCTAGGACATGCACTGGCATGTATGGTACGGTACCGTACCTGTTATGGCTGTCTTTTTATATCATTTACCGTAGCTACCTTTCTGACAACTCGTTTTTCATTTTTCATTTTCATTTTAAAAAAAGCTCGTCCAAGTGCGTATGTTAGGGCTGTGGAAATGCACTGTTCGCAGACTCATCATCACCACATCGCGCCCCCTGGTCCTTCACATGCATGTCTGCCTGCCAGCTGCCTGCCAGCTGTCTGCCAGCTGCCTGCCCGCATTCTGCGGGAAAACTTCATGTACTATTTCTACTTCTACTGAAAGTGCAACTAGTGAAAGCACTTCACTCATCACATCCTGCCTCTCTGCCTGCTGCCATCTACTGCGCCCCACCCCCCCTTCACTGCCCCCCCAACCTGCTACCCCTCTGCGCCCCTCCCCCTTCCACTGCCCCCAACCTGCCTCGCCTCACCCTGCTGCCTCTGCGCCCCTCCACCCCTCGCTGCCAACCAACCTGCTTCCACTGCCTGCTGACTCCTCGCCAGACCCCCCACCTCTTCACCGGACCCCCAACTCTTCACCGGACCCCCACCTCCTCGCCAGACCCCCCACCTCTTCGCCTCGCCCAGGGTTAGACCTCTGGTGACTCCCCCCCCTGCTGCCCTCTCCTGCCTCTGGCCCTCTGCTTCCCTCTGCTTCCCTCTGCTTCCCTCTGCTTCCCTCTGCTTCCCTTTGCGCCACTCCCCCCATCGCTGCCCGCCAACCTGCTTCCCTCTGCGCCCCTCCAGCCTGCCCTGTCCGCCAGCCTTCCCTGTCCGCCAGCCTTCCCTGTCCGCCAGCCTTCCCTGTCCGCCAGCCTTCCCTGTCCGCCAGCCTTCCCTGTCCGCCAGCCTGCCCTGTCCGCCAGCCTGCCTCTTCTCACCCTGTTGCCCCTTCTCCTGTCTTTTCTAAAAATATAAACCACTCCCCCACCTGCTGTTTCCTGCTGCTGCACCTGTTGCCTCCGCATCACTCCCCCCTCACTGCCCCTCAGCCTGCTTCCCCTCCCCCTGCTGCCGCCTCTGCGCAAGCCCCCTCACCTCCTCTGCAGTGGGCGGGCGCGGGCCCTCAGGGGGGTAAATCACATACGCCCTCTGTGGGGGGAGATACGTGGAGGAGAGGGGGAAGGAGTGGGTGCGTGGGTGGGTGGAGGGAGAGAGGGGAGTGAGGGGTGAGACGGTGGATTTAGCGGGGAGTGCATGTGGGGTGTGCATGTGGGGTGTGCATGTGGGGAGTGCATGAGGGGAGTGCATGTGGGGAGTGCATGTGGGGAGATACATGACAAGTTCACCGTCTCGAACAAGCAGTGGGTGGAAGGGGTTGAAGGCCTTTTCCTTGGCCTCATGGAATAAGCAATGGGTGGGGTATACATGAAAGCCCCACGGTCACGTGTCACATGACCCACGCCATGCACGGTTTTCACCTGAGGCGCACGCACGCATACACGTTTTTCGCAATGCACGCACACATGTCTGTCACGTGCGCATGATGCTCTCACGTTGCGGATGATAGCCTCGAGGTTGTCCCGGTTGTTGGCAAAGGCGACCATCATGGCGATGCGATGGGGGGATGATCTCAAGCGGCCTCAAGCACAGCCCACCCCAACACTCACGCACGCACATGCCACACGATCAACGCCTCACGTTGCGGATGATAGCCTCGAGGTTGTCGTGGTTGTTGGCGAATGCGACCATCATGGCGATGCGATGGGGATACCCACGTAGCACCAATCCAACACCTGAGCACCAATCCACGGACATGCCCGTTACGTGATGCACATGCCACCTGATGCACGTACGTTGCGGATGATAGCCTCGAGGTTGTCCTGGTTGTTGGCGAATGTGACCATCATGGCGATGGGGATGCCCACGTAGCACGCGAATTTGAACACCTCCAGAAACCCCTTGCGCGGCCCTTTGAACGACATCCCGGTCCCGATCCCGCCTGCTGCGCTCGCTCGCTCGCTCGCTGCTCCTTCTTCCCGCGGATCTCGCCGTCGCCCACCGTGAGTCCGCGCTTCGTTACCTCCCGCCGGAATTCACCTCGTTCGCCAGGATTCGCCTTCTCTGCCACGATTTCTGTCGCCACCTGTCCTTTCCGCCTAACCTGCTTTTGACGCCTGAATCTGCCGAGATTTGAGACGTCTCAAAACTGAACCTGCTCAAATATGAACCTGCTTTTGGCGCCTGAATTTGCCCTAAGCGGCTGTGGCAGCTGAGATGGCGGAAGAAGGGAAGGGCGGCGGGGTGAAGGTGGAAGCGAGGAAGGGCGAACGGGTGAAGGCGGAAACGGGGAACGCGGAGGTTGAAGAGGACACAAGTGGCGGAGACTGAGAAACAGCAGCCCGGACGGTGACACAGCAACCCGCCGGTGACGACGGCGGTGACTGCGGTGGCACTGGAGCCTGGAGCTAACTCGACGCCGGTAGGGGAGGCGCCGCCTACAGAAGAGGTGCCAACGGGCTACTGCGACGCGGAGGAAGGGGAGGAGAGGCGGGAGGTGGACGAAGAGGGGGAGGAAGAGGCGGTGACTGAGTCGGCGCGTGAAGCGGCAGAGGGGAGAAAAAAGAGGGCAAAACGGACGCGGAGAAATAATTCCGCCTCTATCTGCCGGGATTTGCCTTCTTTTGCCGCAGTTTCTGGCGCCACCTTTTTTTGTCCCGTGACACGCGGGTGGGTAGTGGCGTCCTTGTGTTTTTTCTTACGAAGCTTCGACTCCCCAGTTGTCCACCCAGAATTCGAGCAGAGATGAGCGAAATCCAGCCCCTATGCCGCGCAACGTCTGCCTGTTATTGAGTGATAGATCTATCACGCACTGTGAAGGGTCGCAATACACTGAGTGGTTAAGGACGTAATTGGCTATGAGCTATTTGTTATACAGCTCTGATCTCCCACCCTTGGAAAGGATTACCATGCACCACCAGTTGCAAATTACTGATGCTGGTCATATATTGACGTAATTATATCCCCTTAATTTATTGTATATACATTTATTAATTTTATATTATAAACATACGGTGAATGAGCTTCCAGCAATTGGGTGAGCATTGCGAGCATGGTGAGCGTCCCATGACGATGAGTTTGAGAGTTATTGTTTTAAAAAGGTAGTTTAATTTGACTACTGCAAACAGGTCACCTGCTACTGCCATGGATACCCGTCTCCAGCAGAGTGCATGGGGTCTGCCATACACCGGGCTATTTTTTAAGCCAGCAGGGAATGGGGAGCACGGAAGCAGCGAGTAGGTAAGGGGGAGCAGTGCAGGGGTGAGTGAGGAGGCGGCGAGAATGAAAGGGGGAGCAGCGCAAGGGGGAGTAGGGAAGTAGCACGAGAGAGCAATGAATATTCAGCATTTGTCTTGAATACAAAAAATAAATAAGTGGAACTCTATGCACTGCACACGCATACAAACTCCTAGCCATAACTATATCCTCGTCCCTAATCCCATTCTGGATAATCCCATTCTGCATCATCTCTTTCTGCATCACCACATTCTGCATCATCATCACATGTATCATCATCAGCAGCACTAATAACACTCTCGTCCTCCTCGCCACCAACCACTGCAAGTTGCCGCTCTCCAAAGAAGCCATCCCACGGCAAAACATGCTCTGCGGTCCTTCTACCAGTCACCACCAGCCGTGGCAGCAGCATCCCAACCTCCCTACCAGCACGCATTAACTCCACACTATCGAAACAAGTTTCTCCACTTCCTTCACCTTCACCCATCCCCATGTCTCCCTCGCTTCCACCTTCTTTGCTTCCACCTTCTTTGCTTCCCCTCCACCAATCCCCATCAATCACTCCAGGAGACACCACCAGCCGCCGCAGCCTGAAATCCTGCGGCCCCCAGAAGCACCCTCTCCACCTCATCCTTTCCTCCTCATGCCCCTCACCCTCGCCTGCAATTTCCTCCTGCTCCTCACACCCCCCATCCACCGCCACCACTTCAGCCAACCCAGTTTCCCTGCTCTTCTCCCTGTTGCCAGCAAGCTCTCTGGCTGCTGCTGAGAGAGCGAGCAGGAGGGCAGACGACACCCCCGGGCATCCATACAGGTCCAGCAGAACCAGCCGCGGCAGCTGCAGCTGCAGTGGCGCACTGAAAGCACTGCATACACCAGCAGCGGCGTCGGGAGAAGATGAAATTTCAGGAGTACGCTCAGGAGCACTACCTGCTGCACCAGTAGTAGCGTCATCGGGTCCAGGTGAAATTTCAGGGGTACACTCAGATGCAACGGCAGCACTGCCAACAAGAGCATTCACTGCCCCACCCACACCGCCGCCGCGCCAGCTGTCGCCAAACAGCGCCGCCACGACAGCAGCATCATCCACCGCTGTGCGCGCCAGCCGCAGCACCTCCAGCCGCCCGCATCGCCTTGCCAGCTGGTGCAGCCCCACTGGCCCCACGTTCTCACAGCCGCCCAGACTCAGCTGCACCAATCGCGTGCATCCGTTTGCGAGAGCCACCACCCCAGCGTCAGAAACTAGCGGTTGGACGGGAGGGGGGGCAACATGGAAGAAGGTCCTGGCATAGGAGGAGGGCCAGTAGAGAGCGTAACATTTGGGATTCCTGGCAGCAGCAGGGCCAACCGCGGCGAAGCGAGCTAGCTGCTGCGCATGCAAGGCGATGAGGTTCGGGCAGGAGAGGGAGATTTGCAGCAGAAGGGCGTCTGTGGCCCAGGGGAGGGCGAGGCGCTGTAAGAGAGGCAGGCAGCGGATGGAGTGGCAGAGTGCCGCCTCGCCGCTCGCAGTTGGGCACTTGGATGTTTCGATTAGGAGAGAAGGAGGGCAGTGTGGGAATTCGGTTTGGGAGAGATCGAGAGTGGTGAGGTGGCGGAACAAGGGGCCCACGAGTTGCCACGTGGACAGGGAGGAAGTGTGGGCGTGAAAGGAGCGCAGAGAGGAGGAGATGGACGGAGGTGAGAGGCACTGGCTGCCGCTGCCGCCGCCGCCGCTGCCGCTGCCGCTGCCGCTGCCGCTGCCGCTGCCGCTGCCGCTGCCGCTGCCGCTGCCGCTGCCGCTGCCGCTGCCGCTTCTGCTGCCAGTGATGCTGCTGCTGGTCTGTGCTCCAGTGGCGACGCAGTTAGCAGAGAGGGCGAGCAGGAGGGAGGAGGCGGGAAGCAGATGCCAGGCAACGGAGTGATGGGGGGTGATATATAGACGGATGGAGGAGAGGCAGGGCGCCAGCGGGGAGCCTGAGCCTGATGCGCACGAGAAAGGGATGTCGGCATTCGGGGGTGCCTCAGCGAGCGAGGAGAGGTGAGCCAGAAGAGCAGCCGCCGCATCAGCTGCATCAGGCGACTTTTGAGACGTCTCTACAGCCGCCGCGGCATTATCTGCTGCATCGGCTGACCCCCTCGCCCGTCCTCCGCAGTGCTCTGCCGCTGCGAGTTCCGCCTCTTGCTGCTGGTGCTCCCGAAGGGGCGCGAGGCGGTGGGACACGAGAGAGAGGCGCTGCAGCGACGGGAGGAGCGCGAGGAGGCGAGACAGCGTCTCCCAGGTGATTGAATTCGAGCAGAGCGCGAGGGCTGTCAGGCGTGGAAGCTTGCTGGCCACGTGCTCTACGGACTCAGCGGTGTAATCCCCTGGCGTGTCGAGGTTTAAGGCACGGAGACTACGGAGTGAGGCGGCGATGGAGTGAAGGTGGCAGTTGGAGAGGAACGTGGGCTGCCGATGGGGCGCGCACATACGATACGGGGGGGGGCCGCGGGTGAGGCAGCAGCGGGGGAGCGAACTGACAAGGATGGAAAGGCGGTGGGGAAGGTGGCAGGGGAGGCGGCGGAGGAGGTGGAGGCGGATGGAGGGAATAGCAGGGGGTGACAGCGGGAGGAGTAGGGGGAGGAGGGCGGGGCTGAGGGTGCGCACGAATACGCAGAGGGGGAGGGGGTGGAGGAGGAGGTGCAGGAACACGCGGAGGGGGAGAGCGGGCCGGAGGGGGCGCATGAACACGTGGCGGGGGAGGGGGTGGCGGAGGGGGAGGCGCAGGAACACGCAGAGGGGGAGGGGGTGGCGGAGGGGGCGAAGGAGCACGCGGAGGGGGAGAGGGGGGCGGAGGGAGCGCATGAACACGTGGCGGGGGAGGGGGTGGCGGAGGAGGAGGCGCAGGAACACGCGGAGGGGGAGAGGGTGGCGGAGGGGGGGCAGGAACACGCGGAGGGGGAGGGGGTGGCGGAGGGGGAGGCGCAGGAACACGCGGAGGGGGAGGAGGTGGCGGAGGGGGCGAAGGAGCACGCGGAGGGGGAGAGGTGGGCGGAGATGGCGCAGGAACACGAGGGGGAGGGGGTGGCGGAGGATGAGGGGGTGGCGGAGGGGGAGGCGCAGGAACACGCGGAGGCGGAGGGGTTGGCGGAGCGGGGGTGGACGAGCCCGGCCCGGCGAATTGAGTGGCGTCCCCATGTCCCCACACCAGATCGGATCTCCGAAATTGAGTCCTCCCATTTATCTCCGCATATACCTCAGCATCATCAAACGCTTCCGAATCGCCTTCAGCGAGCGCAAGCGGGTTTACGCACGTCACCGGGCAGAGAAAGTGGTCGGAGCGCACATTCAGCGACTTGAGCTGACGTGGCACAGCTGGTAACAGCACCCTCTGGAAGTCTGGTTTGAGCATGGGTAGCGAATCCAGCAGCCGGTACCCTCTCGAAGTCTGCTCCACGCAACTGACGAGAGTTAGGGTTTCGATCCACGGTGCGTGTCCAAGGATTCGCGCGATGCCGTGGCACGTCAGCCTGTCGTTATCAGATTCCGTTAAGTTCCGTGCGCCGGGACGGAACTCCAGCGACCGGAGCGTGTCGGCGAATCGCGTTGTTAAATCGAGCATCTGCGATTCGGAGTCGGAACTACCTAGCATGCGCTCCAAGCCAGGAGCTAAGCTCTCGAGCAGGAAAGGCGACTGTCGGAGAGACCGCACGCACACGCGCAGCGCGATGCGGCACCAGCGGCGGCAGACGAAGGCGGCCGAGGAGATGGCGAAGCGCGAGGGGAGGAAGGAGAGGACGATGGAGAGCATGTTGTCGTCCAGTTGGCTTGTGAGAGAATTCCATTCCGCGGAGAAATCTCCGCGATCATGGTCGCTATCGCCGTGCAACAGTTTTTCCATGGCAATGGGAGCTGTCAGAAACCGGCCACGATACCGTCACGGTATCACGAGAGAGGCGAAATGTTGAGGAAATGTCACTGAACAGTTCACGGATCGAGGAATCGAATGAGCAAGTAATTAAGCTGCGGAGTAAACGCACTGGATTGTGAACTGAGCCAAAGGAATTACCAGGCACTGAGGATGATGGGGAAGCACATCAATTCCCGATTTCGATGAAAATACTGCAGTTCGACGTGCGGGAAAGGAGCAAAAGCCCGTTGAAGTACTACTCTTGGCTCATCGGGGCAATGTTCCGCTGCAGGAATGAACATGAGGAAGAGGCGAGAGAGCGAGAGTCAGACCTCGCGCCGCTAGCTCGCGCTGGTCAACTTTGGAGTCAACACCAGTTGACTCCAATTCCGTGGTTTAGGGGATGTCTGAAGTGAACGTCGACGAAACTCGACGATACTGTAGGGAATGTCGTTGAATCTTGACGGTCGGAACTCTCGATCTGAGGGTGGAAATTCGCCGACATTCCCCGACGAAACTGTAGCATTCGTCGACGTTGCACTTCAGACACCCCCTTATGCGCAAGCGGGATGTCAGGGTGGGGGGGGGGGGAAGGCGTGGAAGCGCTTATTCGGGGAATGGAGGGATTGGGGTTGATTGAAACAGAAGCCCAGTGAAAAGATATGTCGTGAGCGAGAACACATTTTAGGGGTAACCCGTTTCTCCCAGGCCCAGAACACATATTTTTCTACCCCGAGTCGAAGGGATAGGTTGTCCGAGTGGTTGGGCAGCACGATTCGAACAGTTCATCTCAGTCGTCCTCAGGGCGCATTCTTGGCTCGTGTCTGACATGAGGTCAGACACGAAGTGAAGTTGAGGAAGACCCGAAGTGACCTGGAACTCTGGCAAATCAATGTTCGGAAGACCCGAAGTGGTGTCTGACACGAGGTAGGAATGCGCCCTCAGTTCTGCCTCCTTGATCAGCCACCGGATAAAGGTTAAAGTTAGGGTACGTTCCTGGCGCGTGTCAAACTTCCGGTCTTCCCGGGAAGACCCAAAGGTTTAGGTCAAACTTCCTGTCAAACTTCGAGTCTTTCAGAAACAGGGGCGAATTTTAGCTGGAAGACCCGAAGTTGGTCTCGCATGACCCGAATTGGGGCCAGCTTCGTGTTATCCCCGGAAGACCGGAAGTTTGACACGCGCCAGGAACGTACCCTTATTTTTCTGGTCGTAACCAGTTACAGGGGTATCCATTCCTAGATGAGCACGTGCTAACCCCTACTTGGGGCTGGCAGAACACGCCTGCACGGGGGTGGGTTCGATCCCAGGACCTCATCTATCGGAAGTGCCTCTTTCTACTGACTAGGCCACTTCAGGATTTGATCAGCCACCGGACCGGACTAACCATAGTGGTCCCTCACCTGACGTTTCTGCTCTTGCCTGACAAAGCGCATGCCTGCATTCGTGCTGGATCCATGACACAGGCATCTGTGGTTTCTTGAAAGGGCAGATACGTAGGTTTTGAAGTTTCCGAGGCCGCAAGCTATTGCTTCCTCAAAGCACCGGGAATGACCAATGGTGCATTCTTGGCTCGTGTCTGACATGAGGTCAGACACGAAGTGATGTTGAGGAAGACCCGAAGTGACCTAGAACTCTGGCAAATTAATGTTCGGAAGACCCGAAGTGGGCCACTTCGGGTCTTCCGAACCTCCATCCAAACCTCCACTTCGTGTCTGACACGAGCTAGGAATGTACCCCAAGTCCAGATTACTTGCGAATGCATAGAGCACTTAGGGCGCATTCGTATCCCGTGTCAGACATGAGGTTTGACACGAAGTGGATGCTCGGAAGACACGACGTGGCTCAAAATTCAGGCAAATTTAGGTTCGGAAGACACAAACCGAGTCACCTTGTGTCTTCCGAACCTCCAACTTCGTGTCTGACACGGGATACGAATGCGCCCTTAGAGCAATCCAAACTTTGATAAAGGGCAGAAGGACAGACCAACCACATACTCCACTGGGTATTGTGAGCAGACCCGTGATTTAGACACTAGTAGAACATTCTGTGTAAAGTGTGGGGAGAACCCCGTTGATGTTACCCCGGCAGTCAGTCGAAACCCGCCAATCCGTGCAGAGACACACACACACTTACCAAGAATGAAACTTTTCCTGGTGTTGATCTCCGAAACCGCCTCTTTCTTTCAAATCGTATTTTCCATGTGGTCTGGTTCATCTTTAGGAGGCTCTGTGATGTGAGATGCGTTGAGCTCAAGATACTCTTGAAATCGCTTGCTGATTTGTCTTTCGAGCGAGCCTAAGTGGAGACGTACACGCTTCCAACGACTTATAGAGTGGCGCGACCGCCACAGCTTCGAAGCTTCCAGCAGAGATCTATGCTTGACTTTTCATCTAGACCTCTTCCAGGCGTTTAGACATTCAGGCTTCCAGCCTTCCAGGCCATGGTGGCCTGGAAACCTCCTTCCTCCAGATCCGTAATGCGCCGCGCGATTTTCAGCCTGAAAAAGCAGCGTAATTCCTTGTTCCGACCGAACATGGCTTGCGCTACCAATCCATGGAAGATCGGCTACAGCCGCGCCGCGATCCAAATATTCCTGATAGCCTTTTTTGCACTGAACGCCGTTTTCGCTTGTCTCTATGCGACCGGTATTTTTACGAGCGAGGCTTTGGAGAAGCAAAAGGAGGAGATCGTGCATCTATGGCAGTCGTGTATTTACAACCGCTTCGCGCACATCCATCGATTCCAACATCCCTTCCTCCGCCCCGAGACGTGCTCCGAACTCACTATGGCCGCCGCGAAACGTGGAGAAGCAGGCTTGAAACGAGCGCGATACTCGCGAGTTCCTGGTTACTACCACCCAGATATTGTCGACGGATGTGCTTCTAGCGAAGGATCGACAGATTCGACGAATTTTTCTGGAAGATTGACGGAGGGCTGTCAGCTCGAGTGGGTTGTGTACTCCACGGAGTGCGGAGTGAATCTGAACCGTCTAGCCAAACTCTGCCACGTGGCAGGAATCCCGTTAGCCGTGGTCGGCCTGAAGACGATGTGGAGGGGATTCGGCGGCAGGCTCCGGATTTTCAGGGACTATCTGCACTCGCTTCCGGCTGACAGGATCGTCATTGTGTCAGATGCTGATGACGTGTTCGTGCTGCCAGCTCAGCACTGCCGTCCGGTTGACATTATCCATAAGTTTCTGGATCTGGGTGCGCCCATGGTTTTCGGCTCCGAAAAATACTGTTTTCCCGAATGGTGGTTGTACGAAGATTTGTACCCGAAGCCGTCCCGAGATACACCCTTTAAATTCGTTAATGCTGGGACGTATATGGGCTTCGCATGGGCTATAGCGAGCGCCATTGACGCCGCTTACATAGGGGATTGCCTGGACGACCAACGGCAGTTCATGCTCGTCTTCCTCGGGCAGGACAAACTTTTCAAAGGCCTGCCCCGTGCTCCGACCCCATTCACCCACGGCCAAAAATTCTCCCGCGTAACGAAACCTCCACGGGTCACCCCCTCCCTGGTCCTACCATCCCCTCCATCCGCTATAGGAGCTTCAGCTGCTCGCTCTTCTCTCTCCTCCTCCCTTTCTTCAATCTCTTCCGATTCAAACGCCAGCAATATTCCTCGGTTTATCCAGCTGGATTATTTCAACTCCATTTTCCACCTGCTGGGAGGGTTTGGAGCAGAGGCGCTGGAGATAGAGGGGGACGGGAGGGGCGGAAGGAGGGAGATGCGGGTTCGGTCGAGGTTTACGGGTGGTGAGGCGTGTGTGTTTCATCAGCAGGGGAACAAGACGGGTGATTTGGCCATGTTTGATGTGTTCAATACCACAGGGATGGAGGTGCTGTTTGATTGAACTGCAGGAGGGGTGGGAAGAGGGTGATGCGGGTGCGGTCAAGGTCCACAGGTGGAGAGGCGTTCGTGTTTCATCAGCAGGGGAATTTTGGCCATGTTTGACTTGTTCAACACTACAGGGATGGAGGTGCTGTTTGGTTGAGCTGCTGAAGGGGTGGGAGGAGGGAGATGCATGTACGATTCAAGTTCACAGGTGGTGAGGCCTGGTGTGTTTCACCAGCAGGGAATCAGGCGGGTGATCTGGCCATGCTTGATGTGTTCAACGTTGCAGGGATGGAGGTGCTGTTTGATGGAACTGCTGACTGTGTAGTTGACTCTGTTGTCGACTGCATGCGTAGAATGGGCAGGTACAAGCATTAGATACCGTAGGTACAGTACAGTGTATGCTAGGTGAATGCAAGTGCAGTCTAGGGTATACCGTACTTTCCTCGTGTATGTCTTGTCAGGGATGGGTGCACGCTCATTACGAACCCTGGATGCATCAGGGCATGCCCTAGCCTCTTATCAGGCAAACCTCTTGTGATACTTGCCTGATAGGGTATCGTGTTTACATGAATTTCAGTGTAATGCAACATATTGGGTTTACATGAATTTCAGTGCGATGCAACGCGTGTCTGAAGAGGTCACCGGACAAGAGGCCGAAGGAACAAGGTCTCAGATATTTCCTGTCAGCAGTACCGTATGTTATTTTCCAGGTTGCATGAGATACTGTTTCTTGTCCACTGCTCCTCTGGTCAAACACTGAGAAAGTGAAAAGGAACTCTCCCAACAAGTGTTATGGATGGCACACAAACATGCATCATTCAAGCAAATACGGTACTGCCAAAACCGGTTGACCAGCAAAGCTCGCAAAGTGCCAAAACTGCAGCGGCACAAACTCCGTGCCTCATCCACCACCACAGGCAGTTATGTGCCGCATGCACCACTGCCACCTTTGCCCTCAACCACCCACACATGTGGCATACACAGCACACACACACGTCACACCCGCTGCTGCCTGTCGTGTCCCTCCAGCTCCACTTGCACCGCCTCCAGCCTCAGCCATACCTCTTCCATCCGTGCACACATGCACCTCACACATGCATCTCACACATGTATCTCACACATGCATCTCACACATGTATCTCACACATGCATCTCACACATGTATCTCACACATGCATCTCACACATGTATCTCACACATGCATCTCACACATGTATCTCACACATGCGTCTCACACATGCATCTCACACATGTATCTCACACATGCATCTCACACATGCATCTCACACATGTATCTCACACATGTATCTCACACATGCGTCTCACACATGCATCTCACACATGTATCTCACACATGCATCTCACACATGTATCTCACACATGCGTCTCACACATGCATCTCACACATGTATCTCACACATGTATCTCACACATGCATCTCACACATGTATCTCACACATGCATCTCACACATGTATCTCACACATGCGTCTCACACATGCGTCTCACACATGCATCTCACACATGTATCTCACACATGCATCTCACACATGTATCTCACACATGCGTCTCACACATGCATCTCACACATGTATCTCACACATGTATCTCACACATGCATCTCACACATGTATCTCACACATGCATCTCACACATGTATCTCACACATGCATCTCACACATGTATCTCACACATGCATCTCACACATGTATCTCACACATGCGTCTCACACATGCATCTCACACATGTATCTCACACATGCATCTCACACATGTATCTCACACATGCATCTCACACATGTATCTCACACATGCGTCTCACACATGCATCTCACACATGTATCTCACACATGCATCTCACACATGTATCTCACACATGCATCTCACACATGTATCTCACACATGCATCTCACACATGTATCTCACACATGCATCTCACACATGTATCTCACACATGCATCTCACACATGTATCTCACACATGTATCTCACACATGCATCTCACACATGCATCTCACACATGTATCTCACACATGTATCTCACACATGCATCTCACACATGCATCTCACACATGTATCTCACACATGCATCTCACACATGCATCTCACACATGTATCTCACACATGTATCTCACACATGCATCTCACACATGCGTCTCACACATGCATCTCACACATGCATCTCACACATGCATCTCACACATGCATCTCACACATGCATCTCACACATGTATCTCACACATGTATCTCACACAGCGCCTGCTAGATCCAACACGCACACACCTCCAAACTGCCCCTTTACTTCATAGCACTGCTGCCAGTCATGTGCCTCCAGCACCACTGCCTCCAGCCTTTGCAGCACCTGTTCCATCATGTGTGCATGCATGCATGCACCTCGTCTCCTCACTCCCCACTCTCGAGCCAACCCAGAAGTCATTTCATGCGCTGCTGCCTGTCATGTGCCTCAAAAAACACCGCCTCCAGTCTCTGCCGCACCTGCTCCATCATATGGGCGTACATGCGTCTCGTCTCCTCACTCCCCACTTTTGAGTCGACTCAACAGTCACTTCATGCGCTGCTGCCTGTCATGTGCCTCAAAAACCACCGCTTCCAGCCTTTGCCGCACCTGCTCCATCATGTGGGCATACATGCGCCTCGTCTCCTCACTCCCCACCGCCCTCACATTCCCAATCCTCCTCCTCAACACTGCCGCCTCCGCGTCTCTCTCCGCTTCCTCCTTCCTCTCTGCTTCCCTCCCCTCCTCCCTCCTCCCCTCATTCACAATCCTACCTTCTCCTACACTTTCTCCTGCTCCCATCTCCAGTCTATGGTCGATCCCTTGTTCTCCTTCTGACCGTAACCCACGCTGCATCAGCTCCTGTAACCGCTGAGTCAGCACCTCGGGCGAGTGGATAAGAGCGTCAGCGCCAAATGTCGGCAGCTGGGGCCGCCACGTGGGATCGAGGGGGCAGACAGGCGAAGAGGCTGTTGTTTGCCTTTCTTGCTGGCAATGCGGGGAAAAAGTAGCGGGGTCGGAAGCAGCATGGCTGGTAAGTCTGCTCTCGCTCATACTTCTACTGCTGCTGCTGCTGGCGCCATTGTCACTGCTGTCATCATCAGTGCTACTGCTGCTGCTGCTGCTGCTGCTGCTGCTGTGAGCAGAGGGGGAAGCATCGAGCCGAACGGCTTCCTTGGCTTGCTGGCGCAGGGAGGGGAGGTCAAAGGAGAAAGGCTCGCCCACCACCACGCTCACACGCTGATTCCACAGTGGTATCAACGGACGCTTGTTGTTGCGGTAGTTCTGAGGGATGATCTGTGGCATTGATGGGGGGGAAGGGCCAAGTGGGATAGAAACAAGAGGGGAGGTCAAAGGAGAAAGGCTCGCCCACCACCACACTCACACGCTGGTTCCACAGTGGTATCAACGGACGCTTGTTGTTGCGGTAGTTCTGAGGGATGATCTGCATGCACGGGGGGGAGGGGAGAGAAGTGGCAATTTCACAAGTGTTAGGAAGGAAGGAAAGAGGCTCGCCCACCACCACGCTCCCGTGCTGGTTCCACAGCCGTATCAACAGTCACTTCCTGTTGCGGTGGTTCTGCGGAAAAATGTGCATGCCGAGAGAGGAGAGAGAGAGAGAGAGAGAGAGAGAGAGAGAGAGAGAGAGAGAGAGAGAGAGAGAGAGAGAGAGAGAGAGAGAGAGAGAGAGAGAGAGAGAGAGAGAGAGAGAGAGAGAGAGAGAGAGAGAGAGAGAGCGAAGTAGCAAGTTAAGAAGCAGTATGATCCTGCGATGCGGAAGGAAGAAAGAAAGAAAAGAAGCAATCAGTTGGTTGCACTGCGGGCACTTGATGCTAGGCAAGAGGGGAAGGGCACTTGATGCTAGGCAAGAGGGGAAGGGCACTTGATGCTAGGCAAGAGGGGAAGGGCACTTGATGCTAGGCAAGAGGGGAAGGGCACTTGATGCTAGGCAAGAGGGGAAGGGCACTTGATGCTAGGCAAGAGGGGAAGGGCACTTGATGCTAGGCAAGAGGGGAAGGGCACTTGATGCTAGGCAAGAGGGGAAGGGCACTTGATGCTAGGCAAGAGGGGAAGGGCACTTGATGCTAGGCAAGAGGGGAAGGGCGGCGGCAGCGAGGAGCAGAGGGCCGGTCCAGCAGATTGGCGAGTCAAGTGGGGTACAGACAGAGCCTGAGGCAGGCACATGCACATCCCTCCTTTCCCCACACCCACTCACCCGCTCCAAGCCGCTGTGCCCCACGTAGAGCAGGATGGGCGGGGGGAGAGAGGGGCAGAGGCGGTCCGGCAGACTGGCGAGTCAAGTGGGGTGCATCCCTGTCTGCACCCTCGCTCCAGCCTAGGCAGGCATGTACCCGTCCAGCCTACCCTCACACACTCACCCCCTCAAGGCCGCTGTGCCCCACGCAGAGCAGGATGGGCGGGGGGAGAGAGGGGCAGAGGCGGTCCGGCAGACAAAATTAGAATCATTCAACGACTCTTTTCCATGTTCACACTCACCCGCTCAAGGCCGCTGTGCCCCACGCAGAGCAGGATGGGCGGCGGCAGCGAGGGGCAGAGGCGATCCAGCAGACTGGCGAGGCCCCACTTGAGGCGCGGCAGAGGGCCGTGCTGCTGTATGATTCTCGCCTCTGGGAAGATGTTGAGCTGCACTTAGAAAAGCAAAAGGGGGGAGAGAAGTGGAAGAGGGCAACAGAGGGGGAATAAGGCTACTCCAGTTACCCATTTGAGGTGCGGCAGAGGGCCGTGCTGCTGAACGATGCGTGCCTCTGGGAAGATGTTGAGCTGCCGATGAGAGGGGGAAAGGGGAAGGGGAGAAGGGGAACAAAGTGGGTATAGCTGCAAAATCGACGAAGATTTCAAACTGGTGTAGCTGCAAAATTTACCCAGCTGCCCTGGACTATTTGCGAAAGCTACCCAACCACCCAGGTGTACATGCGAAACTTACCCAGTCGCCCTGCTGTAAGCGCAGCAGGGCCTCGTCCATGCCTGGTTGAAACACCCCCTGGTTGCGCGATATCGGAATGCTCTTGCCTGCCAGGGAGAAATGTGTCAGAGCGACATGTGTCAGAGCGACATGTGTCAGAGCGACGTGTCAGAGCGACATGTGTCAGAGCGACATGTGTCAGAGCGACATGTGTCAGAGCGACATGTGTCAGAGCGACATGTGTCAGAGCGACATGTGTCAGTGCGACATGTGTCAGAGCGACATGTGTCAGCGCGACATGTGTCAGAGCGACATGTGTCAGAGCGACATGTGTCAGAGCGACATGCGTCAGAGTCGAATCAGAAGGTGAAACCAATTATCTATGAATGCCATTAGATGAAAAGCGGGTAAATTACTGATTTTGAAGATTTACTCGTCAAGGATCAGGAGGGAATGATTGATTTTACCGATGCGGCAGATGTAGGAGTCGAGGAGGCCGGTGAAACAGATCTCAGACGCAGTGAGCGTCCAGCGACTTTTGAGGCGCCTCAGAAGTAAAACACATGAGCCGGGGATGAAATGGGAGGGAATGTCATACCGATGCGGAAGATGTAGGAGTCGAGGAGGCCGGTGAAACAGATCTCAGACGCAGTGAGCGTCCAGCGACTTTTGAGGCGCCTCAGAAGTAAAACACATGAGCCGGGGATGAAATGGGAGGGAATGTCATACCGATGCGGAAGATGTAGGAGTCGAGGAGGCCGGTGAAACAGATCTCAGACGCAGTGAGCGTCCAGCGGCACAGCTTGGGATCCGTAATGCGAAGCCCCCTCTGCCCGCCCCACAGCAGCGGGTCGTCTATCCTGCAGGCAGGTGGGTGGGTAGGTGAACCATGGGAGGGAACCGCGGTTGAAATCGGTACTCAAGGGTGTATTCCAGCTTGGGGTCTCTGATGCGCAGACCCCTCTGCCCGCCTCACAGCAGTGGGTCGTCTATCCTGCAGGCAGGTGGTTGGGTGAACCACGTGATGGTTGCGTGACAGGCAAAGCATGGGGAGAAATGAAGGAGCTGCGGAGGGTGCTGGTGAGTTGAAGGGTGCAGGCAAGGCAGGGGTGTACGATCAAGGGCAAACAAGGGACACGTGGAGGACACACGATGGCGACAGATCAATCCAACAGAGACACGTGAAGAGCACACGATAGAGACGAATCAAACCACCCCCGCAAGTGAGAGAAAGAGGGGTTGGAGGAGACGGCGAAGGGAAGGGCAGGAGGTGCGGGAGAGCGGGGGAGTGGGAGAGTGGAAGCGGCGGAGCAAGAGAGCGGGAGAGAGGGAGAGCGGGAGATCGGGAGCAGCGGGAGTGCGGGAGAGCGGGTTGGAGCCAATCGTACGTTGCCATGTGGTTGCTGACGGTGATGAGCGGCGTGCCAGCTGGCCGCGAGTGCACCAGATCCAAAAGCGTCTGCTGATTGGTCACCTCCATGCGATTCAGGACGTTCATGTAAAAGTACGATATCGAACTAATCGTCGCTATCGCCACGCGCCTCGGAATGCCAAACAGATGCGACGCCTCCGCGGGAGACGCCAAGGCCCCGGAAATCCAGGAACTCGCGCCGCGCCGGCCTTGTGTGGCTGCTGCCGCCGCTGCTCGCGCCGCTGCCGACGCGGCGGCGGAGACGAGCGGCTTGGAAGCTCGCACGCCGTTGCTCATGGTCGCCGCGCTTCGACGGTCTCTTCGATCGTCGGTTCGTGAATACGCGTTTCTCGTTTAGACGTTCGTCCTAGAACGGTCAGACGTTCGTTTTATGCTATAAAATCAGAGCGAGGCATTTACATCGGACTGCGTCAGGTGATCGAATGTACACAGGTGAAGATTCGGTTTAGTGTAACGCGGACAAACAAATAACTCCGAAACCTTCGAACCGCTAAGGCTCCTCAGCAGCATATCGATTCTTGCGTCATTCCGTTAGGGCGTGTAACATCGCCGCACACATGCGAATTTTGCTAATGGCCGGATTTTCGGCCATTAGGGTACTTAGGGGTTTGAATATGAGACAGCTTGGTACTTAGGAATTCCAATGGGTACTCTCGCCAAAACGGCCCGACGGATGGTGGCCGAATTTCTGGGTTCGGCGATGTTACACGACCTTTGGGGTCGAAACACGATCTAAAGCGCGAGACCAGGGCTTCACCTCTGTGCTGCCAAGATGACGGCAGACACTGAGAGATAAAAATATGTGTTGTGAGAGAATGAAGGTTTTGAGGGACGCAACTGGGATGAGAAGCTTTCAACGGCTACAACTTCTGCTCCCCCCATACAACTCCGCTGCTTTGGTCATTGGTTGGCAATATCGAGGTCAGTGTGTCGGCAGTGGGATGGCTTCGAGAGCAAAATTCAGCCAATCAGGAGCATGGACTGAGTTCGAAAAAAGTGGCCCATACAGGTCTCGAACCTGTGACCTTCGCGTTATTAGCACGACGCTCTAACCAACTGAGCTAATAGGCCTGTCTTCAGGTATATTAATCAATTAATTTGGTAATTTGACTGTCAGACTTTTCTTGCCATGTCACTCATGCTGTTCTGCCTGTTGGCTCCTCCGCATTCCAACGGCTTTCCAATGTCAGCAGTCTCGCAGATGTGTGGGTATCATAGCCATTAACGTCGACGTGCCACGTACCGTCCGATCCAGGGTAGCGACTTTCCCGCAAGCTCCTCTCACCAGCTTCTTCTCAGCTCCATTTCTTCTTTCCAAGTTCTGCTGTTAGCAGCCGCGGCCATTAGTATTCCCGAGGGGGGAGCGGGTAAGGGGATGAGGACGGATGGGAAAGACGGCAAGGAGGGGAAGGACGGCGAGCATGGCGAACACTCAAGAACGCATTCGATGAAGAAGAAGATGGGATCGGTGCTGGGATGGGCGGCCAGGATTCTCCCACAGTCCACCAGCGGCGGCAAGGGGCTCGGCGCGGAGCGGCGGAGCGAGAGCGAGGTGGAGCGGCGCGTGGTGGAGGCGCTGCGGCGGCGGAGAGAGGAGGAGGAAGCTTCCGGGAAGAAGCGCATCGTGCATTTCAACACGCTGGTGATGAAATTCGCCAAGTCGGACGAGGCGTTCAAGCAGATTCGCAAGCAGTTCGACCAGTACGGTGCGCGCAAGACCTTTCAAGGTTCTGAGGCCTTTAGAGGAGTTTTCAGGTGTTTCGAGGAGTTTTGAGGACTGTTGGGGCTCCTCAAACGTCGCCAAGTCGGACGAGGCGTTCAAGCAGATCCGCAAGCAGTTTGACCAGTACGGTGCGCGCGCGATCCGGGCCACATTCTAGGCGGACTAGATTCTAGGAGAACCAGAGTTGGAAGAACCAGGCTTTGGGAGGCGAGATTACAGGAGATTAAGGACGCGAGCCAGTAGATCGACCTGGAGGAGATGACGGCATGCACTTATCCGCCACCAACCTCCACCAACCCCCTCGTATCCGTCCCCGTCCCGCGCCAATCTCTCCTCCCACACAACAGACAAGGACTCCAGCCAATCTATTGATCTGGAGGAGCTGCGGACGCGTCTGGCGGCGCTGGGCGTGCGGATAGCGGAGGAGGAGGTGTTGCAGCTGTACCGCGAGGCCCACATGGACTGCTGCTGTCCTCCCTCCCCCCCCTCTTCCCCTCTTCCCCACAACAGACAAGGACGCGAGCCAATCAATTGACCTGGAGGAGCTAAGAACATGTTTATCAGCTCTGGGCGTGCGGATAGAGGAGGAGGAGGTGATGCAGCTGTACCGCGAGGCGGACATGGACTGCTGCGACGGCATGCACTTCAAAGAGTTCATCCTGCTGCTTGCGCTGCTCTACCTGCTGCAACCCAACGTACGTGTTGTGTTGGAAATGCGTTAGAGGTATTGGCGGCTGTGAAGCCTAATGAGAGTATGGTTTTTTTGAGACGTCTCAAAAACACCCTCACTACACGTGGAAATGCGTTAGAGGTATTGGCGGCTGTGAAGCCTAATGAGAGTATGGTATGGCTCTCTCTCAGATGCCTCGGAATCGGGACTGACTGCCGTGACGGCATGCACTTCAAGGAGTTCATCCTGCTGCTCGCACTGCTGTACCTACTTCAGCCCAATGTATGTATGTGTGGCCTGTTAGGCGCAACGTATATGTGGCTTTGAAAGCTAATGTTAAGACGGCCCGCAGATGTCTCGAGACATGGACTGCTGTGAGTGAGTCTGTGACGGCATGCACTTGAAAGAGTCTGTGACGGCATGCACTTGAAAGAGTCCATCCTGCTGCTTGCGCTGCTCTACCTGCTGTAGCCTAATGTGCGTGAGGGCGTAGGGCGTTGGAGGAGGCTCAACTCAACGCACATGTCTCGACAGTTCCCAGAATTGGAGACTTGGAGTTTTGAGAGACCTTGACACGCGCTGCTCTACCTGCTGCTGCCCAATGTGCGTGAGGGTGTAGAAGGCAGACGTGCGCTGCTTTACGAAACACGTGTCTCGGAAACACGTGTCTCGGAAACACGTGTCTCGGAAACACGTGTCTCGGAAACACGTGTCTCGGAAACACGTGTCTCGGAAACACGTGTCTCGGAAACACAGTCTTCCCACCCCGTTACTCCCTCTCCCCTGCCTGCCGCCTTCCCACTTCACGCACGCCTGAAACCGTCTTTCCATGGCGGCACGTGTCTCCACACTTTGGCCTACCAAACAATACTCCCCACCTTTGGGTCAGATATGACCTCCATCAGTAGTGCTCCCTTCAGATATGACCTCCATCAGTAGTGCTCCCTTCAGATATGACCTCCATCAGTAGTGCTCCCTTCAGATATGACCTCCATCAGTAGTGCTCCCTTCAGATATGACCTCCATCAGTAGTGCTCCCTTCAGATATGACCTCCATCAGTAGTGCTCCCTTCAGATATGACCTCCATCAGTAGTGCTCCCTTCAGATATGACCTCCATCAGTAGTGCTCCCTTCAGATATGACCTCCATCAGTAGTGCTCCCTTCAGATATGACCTCCATCAGTAGTGCTCCCTTCAGATATGACCTCCATCAGTAGTGCTCCCTTCAGATATGACCTCCATCAGTAGTGCTCCCTTCAGATATGACCTCCATCAGTAGTGCTCCCTTCAGATATGACCTCCATCAGTAGTGCTCCCTTCAGATATGACCTCCATCAGTAGTGCTCCCTTCAGATATGACCTCCATCAGTAGTGCTCCCTTCAGATATGACCTCCATCAGTAGTGCTCCCTTCAGATATGACCTCCATCAGTAGTGCTCCCTTCAGATATGACCTCCATCAGTAGTGCTCCCTTCAGATATGACCTCCATCAGTAGTGCTCCCTTCAGATATGACCTCCATCAGTAGTGCTCCCTTCAGATATGACCTCCATCAGTAGTGCTCCCTTCAGATATGACCTCCATCAGTAGTGCTCCCTTCAGATATGACCTCCATCAGTAGTGCTCCCTTCAGATATGACCTCCATCAGTAGTGCTCCCTTCAGATATGACCTCCATCAGTAGTGCTCCCTTCAGATATGACCTCCATCAGTAGTGCTCCCTTCAGATATGACCTCCATCAGTAGTGCTCCCTTCAGATATGACCTCCATCAGTAGTGCTCCCTTCAGATATGACCTCCATCAGTAGTGCTCCCTTCAGATATGACCTCCATCAGTAGTGCTCCCTTCAGATATGACCTCCATCAGTAGTGCTCCCTTCAGATATGACCTCCATCAGTAGTGCTCCCTTCAGATATGACCTCCATCAGTAGTGCTCCCTTCAGATATGACCTCCATCAGTAGTGCTCCCTTCAGATATGACCTCCATCAGTAGTGCTCCCTTCAGATATGACCTCCATCAGTAGTGCTCCCTTCAGATATGACCTCCATCAGTAGTGCTCCCTTCAGATATGACCTCCATCAGTAGTGCTCCCTTCAGATATGACCTCCATCAGTAGTGCTCCCTTCAGATATGACCTCCATCAGTAGTGCTCCCTTCAGATATGACCTCCATCAGTAGTGCTCCCTTCAGATATGACCTCCATCAGTAGTGCTCCCTTCAGATATGACCTCCATCAGTAGTGCTCCCTTCAGATATGACCTCCATCAGTAGTGCTCCCTTCAGATATGACCTCCATCAGTAGTGCTCCCTTCAGATATGACCTCCATCAGTAGTGCTCCCTTCAGATATGACCTCCATCAGTAGTGCTCCCTTCAGATATGACCTCCATCAGTAGTGCTCCCTTCAGATATGACCTCCATCAGTAGTGCTCCCTTCAGATATGACCTCCATCAGTAGTGCTCCCTTCAGATATGACCTCCATCAGTAGTGCTCCCTTCAGATATGACCTCCATCAGTAGTGCTCCCTTCAGATATGACCTCCATCAGTAGTGCTCCCTTCAGATATGACCTCCATCAGTAGTGCTCCCTTCAGATATGACCTCCATCAGTAGTGCTCCCTTCAGATATGACCTCCATCAGTAGTGCTCCCTTCAGATATGACCTCCATCAGTAGTGCTCCCTTCAGATATGACCTCCATCAGTAGTGCTCCCTTCAGATATGACCTCCATCAGTAGTGCTCCCTTCAGATATGACCTCCATCAGTAGTGCTCCCTTCAGATATGACCTCCATCAGTAGTGCTCCCTTCAGATATGACCTCCATCAGTAGTGCTCCCTTCAGATATGACCTCCATCAGTAGTGCTCCCTTCAGATATGACCTCCATCAGTAGTGCTCCCTTCAGATATGACCTCCATCAGTAGTGCTCCCTTCAGATATGACCTCCATCAGTAGTGCTCCCTTCAGATATGACCTCCATCAGTAGTGCTCCCTTCAGATATGACCTCCATCAGTAGTGCTCCCTTCAGATATGACCTCCATCAGTAGTGCTCCCTTCAGATATGACCTCCATCAGTAGTGCTCCCTTCAGATATGACCTCCATCAGTAGTGCTCCCTTCAGATATGACCTCCATCAGTAGTGCTCCCTTCAGATATGACCTCCATCAGTAGTGCTCCCTTCAGATATGACCTCCATCAGTAGTGCTCCCTTCAGATATGACCTCCATCAGTAGTGCTCCCTTCAGATATGACCTCCATCAGTAGTGCTCCCTTCAGATATGACCTCCATCAGTAGTGCTCCCTTCAGATATGACCTCCATCAGTAGTGCTCCCTTCAGATATGACCTCCATCAGTAGTGCTCCCTTCAGATATGACCTCCATCAGTAGTGCTCCCTTCAGATATGACCTCCATCAGTAGTGCTCCCTTCAGATATGACCTCCATCAGTAGTGCTCCCTTCAGATATGACCTCCATCAGTAGTGCTCCCTTCAGATATGACCTCCATCAGTAGTGCTCCCTTCAGATATGACCTCCATCAGTAGTGCTCCCTTCAGATATGACCTCCATCAGTAGTGCTCCCTTCAGATATGACCTCCATCAGTAGTGCTCCCTTCAGATATGACCTCCATCAGTAGTGCTCCCTTCAGATATGACCTCCATCAGTAGTGCTCCCTTCAGATATGACCTCCATCAGTAGTGCTCCCTTCAGATATGACCTCCATCAGTAGTGCTCCCTTCAGATATGACCTCCATCAGTAGTGCTCCCTTCAGATATGACCTCCATCAGTAGTGCTCCCTTCAGATATGACCTCCATCAGTAGTGCTCCCTTCAGATATGACCTCCATCAGTAGTGCTCCCTTCAGATATGACCTCCATCAGTAGTGCTCCCTTCAGATATGACCTCCATCAGTAGTGCTCCCTTCAGATATGACCTCCATCAGTAGTGCTCCCTTCAGATATGACCTCCATCAGTAGTGCTCCCTTCAGATATGACCTCCATCAGTAGTGCTCCCTTCAGATATGACCTCCATCAGTAGTGCTCCCTTCAGATATGACCTCCATCAGTAGTGCTCCCTTCAGATATGACCTCCATCAGTAGTGCTCCCTTCAGATATGACCTCCATCAGTAGTGCTCCCTTCAGATATGACCTCCATCAGTAGTGCTCCCTTCAGATATGACCTCCATCAGTAGTGCTCCCTTCAGATATGACCTCCATCAGTAGTGCTCCCTTCAGATATGACCTCCATCAGTAGTGCTCCCTTCAGATATGACCTCCATCAGTAGTGCTCCCTTCAGATATGACCTCCATCAGTAGTGCTCCCTTCAGATATGACCTCCATCAGTAGTGCTCCCTTCAGATATGACCTCCATCAGTAGTGCTCCCTTCAGATATGACCTCCATCAGTAGTGCTCCCTTCAGATATGACCTCCATCAGTAGTGCTCCCTTCAGATATGACCTCCATCAGTAGTGCTCCCTTCAGATATGACCTCCATCAGTAGTGCTCCCTTCAGATATGACCTCCATCAGTAGTGCTCCCTTCAGATATGACCTCCATCAGTAGTGCTCCCTTCAGATATGACCTCCATCAGTAGTGCTCCCTTCAGATATGACCTCCATCAGTAGTGCTCCCTTCAGATATGACCTCCATCAGTAGTGCTCCCTTCAGATATGACCTCCATCAGTAGTGCTCCCTTCAGATATGACCTCCATCAGTAGTGCTCCCTTCAGATATGACCTCCATCAGTAGTGCTCCCTTCAGATATGACCTCCATCAGTAGTGCTCCCTTCAGATATGACCTCCATCAGTAGTGCTCCCTTCAGATATGACCTCCATCAGTAGTGCTCCCTTCAGATATGACCTCCATCAGTAGTGCTCCCTTCAGATATGACCTCCATCAGTAGTGCTCCCTTCAGATATGACCTCCATCAGTAGTGCTCCCTTCAGATATGACCTCCATCAGTAGTGCTCCCTTCAGATATGACCTCCATCAGTAGTGCTCCCTTCAGATATGACCTCCAT